AGTGATCGGTGGTCATCTTCGGTGGTCAAGATCAATATGTTTTTCAAAGGTGGTCAAAGGCCGATCGGTCACATAGGCTCGGAGCGTGGAATTGTCCACAACTCTATTTTCCGTTTGCTTTTTTGGAATTTATGGTGACTTTTGACCTTACCCAAGGTCACTATATTTTAGAATGGATACGTCATCTATCGAGCAGCATCGATGGTAAAGGTTTGGTTCGATCGGTGCCGATGGCCCGAAGCATGGGGTTGCCAACAAGCTGAGTCCCTCGCCGTGAATAATCAAATGATAACGCTAGCAGGTTATTTCAGACCACCGACGTCCGTATCCCCTGGGATGTTGTGTAAGACATTTCAAATTTATGGAACTGCTCCAGCTGTGGTCTTCTCTGGGAGTTAAACAAATGATCTGCTTTATCGAGTGCAATATGCCGTCCAATACAAACAACAAAAAAGGAGGTTTGCTATCGAGGGTTTATACACCTCATACGGATTTTCCATGTCAAACAAAGAAGCAATGGGCATCTTGTGACATCCTGAGTTTTCCTGTGGGAAATATGGCCCAACATAACAAACCGCAACACGCGACACCAAGCCTTACTCGTTTGTCAGCGGCGGCGGCGGCGGAGGCGGTGGCGGTGGTGGTGGTGGTGGTGGTGGTGGTGGCGGCGGCGGCGGCGGCGGCGGCGGCGGCAGTGGCGGCGGCGGCGAAGTGGATGACGGCGGTGGTGGTGGTGGCGGCGGCGGCGGCGCACACACCTGCCTCCTCGTTCAGCCGCATAGTCACATCTGTGCCATCACTGGACACGGTGTCCACACTGCCGGCATGCTTCGGGCCCGCATCACCGGCACTGTCCGACGAGCCGGGCCGGCCGCTGCTTGACCCTGGCGCGGCTAGCTCCTCCAAGTCCGAGTCGATGCCCTTGTCCAGCTGTACGTAGTACCCCTCGGGCGCCTGGTCGGCGCGCCGCGGCAGTCGGCTGCTCACGTCTACGGCGTACTCATCCTGAGCGGCCATGGCGGCGCGGCCGCTCGCGCGCTGCCACCCGGCCGGCCGTGGCGCCGCCTCTGGCCGGGCCGCGGCTGGCGTCCGGCCGACGCCGTGCGCAGACGCGCTGTCCACGCGTGGCCTCCCCTCCTCTCTCGCAGCGTCCCCCCCCCCCTCGCCGCGGCGTCCCGCACGGGCGCACCGCCGGCCGCCCGGCGAGTGCGCCGCCCCACAGGCGGCTAACCCGACAGCAGAGCCATCTGTCGGACCAACTGTGGGCGGGGGGGATCTAATTTCGAGCCTTCGGGGTCTGGGAAAAAGCCGGAATGACCGAAGTAACCGAAGAGCCGATCACTTATCAACAACGCTCCAGAACTTTTGCGTGTTAACTGTATTAGGTGCACTTCGTAAGTACTTGCAACAGGAGCAAACCAAAGTTTACTTGACCTGACTTGATTTGCTTGACCTGGCGTGACCCGGCCTGACCTGACCTGACCTGACGAAGCCTGACCGATAAAGACCTCATGGATCTCCACCCGTGCCTCCTTCGCCACTCTTGCTTCATCCTGCACCTTCGCGACACCCCGTTTGTCCGAGGTATAAGCTACAGGTACCACCCGCGAGTGGGTAAGTGCTCCTTGGTGGGAGACACGTCCATGCGCCGAACGTATGCTCCGTGTAGCGGTCCCGGTGCAGGCCACGTGTCAAGAAATGGACTCCCAGGTGCATGTGGTTTTGCCACACCATTATCCACTCTTCGTCGTCCCTTGGCACCTGAATGGTCATTACTGGCCGAATGGACTCTAATCTAAACCAAGCAAACATGACGTTCGGCGAAGCCACGCTTTGTCTCATCAAATAGCATTCCACCGTTCAGCAGGCGTACCGGATGTAAAGTACCGTCCAGTAATCATTTTGTGGGAGGCACGATATCATCAGTGAAACCTTGCACGCGTATTGTGCTTCTGGAGATGTAGCAGTTCGAGGTATACACACAAGCTTGTGTAAGTTGGTTTTACTCGCCAGCGACGTTTCACCGCACGACAAGATCCGGCCGTCACCAAATGTTGTCCTATGTCAATTTATGAATGCTAAACTACAGACCGTTGCTTTATCCCGTTTTAGACGAAATGATTCTGGTTCTGACTAGTCATGCGCAGATTTGTACGACTCTGACTCTAGGCAGTCCAATGCAACTTGGAGTAGACTCCGGTCCCAACTTGATTTCGTAATTTATTCCGATTGAGTCGATTCTGGTTATGACGGTCCGAGTGACAACGATGGCAAACGGCAGCCGGTGCCGTATTTTCCCTCAGTAAGCAGTTGTGTACCCCATGACATCTTCGTATGAGCAAGAAAGCCTTTGAGCTCCTGGCTTTCAGGGGTAATGGGTGGGGTGTCCTTACGCTGCCAATATTGACCCGCAATAAAGGTACCACGAGGCACTGGTTAAACGAACGTATTGGGCAATCAATAGATTTAGTGTCAAAGCCCACCGCTTCAAGTTGTGCCCGCGGTCATAAGTCACTAGTTATGTTGTGCTCACAGCCGCTTGCTGTTTGAAACGCCGAGGTCCGTCAACGACATTACTGCTCGCTTGATAACGTCGACATTCGACATAATCAACATTCAGTGTACTAGCACCCGCTGGTTCACTTAATGTTGATTAGTGTCAGCATAAGACTCGCAACCTAACGCTGCATGATCTCACAATAAACAGTTTTGGAAAACTAGCACCTGATCAAGCCGGTCGTTTACAACCGCCCTGTGCAACGTAAGCTTTAAAGTACCTGTTGCACTTGTCGCTGAAAACTACATGAGGGCCTGGGACCTGTGGTTGCAAGGATAGACAAGAAACATTGACAAACAGTCAAAAACTTAAGCTCAATAAAAAGGCAACGATCCAAAAGATTGAAAGATTCTTCAGTAGGGTCACTGTTTCAGAGCTTGGACTTCCTTCAGTAGGGCTGAAGGGGTAGACCTGAAACACTGACCACCATTTCCGGAATATTATTATATAGTATGCGCCTGAGGCTCTTTCCACTCACAAGAATACCAAAAAACGTTCAATGCTATCCCTTTAAAAAAAAACCTTTGGGAAGGCGGGTCCGGGCTGGGTCACTCGAATTGAACAAAGTTTCATTTTTCAAGTGAGACTGGCTGAGTCTGACGCTTTCAGCATGCCTTTAAGATGGCATCCGCGAAAGAGCGGGTCTAGATCTTGCCTCGAAATTGACGCAGCTATGACTTGTACCCGATCATGACCAGACAGTCCTGTCTTTGTCGGCATCTTAAGTGCTACACATTGTGTTGGTCGAACTGACATGGAGTACCTGACGTTTGTATTTCATCATTAGACAATCGCCTCGAGTCAACTCGTTTGATGCGGAAGTCTCAGTTGAATAAAATGCACCGAGCGACGCTTGCAGAGTTCATAAAAAATCTCCAAAGCCACTCGACAATGTTCTCTTGCAACGACGTCCTTGGTAAAAACAAGCGACTCTCAGACCAGGTAAGTCTCTCAGAACTGCGTTAACCGCCTGAGTTTGGAACTCGGCAGTGCATTGTTCCAGTTCGATCAGCATCCCTGCCACTTCTTCGAAACCACGTAACCTTTACGGGTCCCAACAGGAAGGCTCCCGATCTGAATCCCGGGCAAGGTTTACCAAGTTATACCGGACTATCCTAGAAGTGAAGCCTGGTACATTCACATCACGGGAACATTGGAGATATTCTACCGAGACGGCGACAGGTGTACGGCGCTGTTGCAGCCATTTTGTCCAATGTGTGAAATAGCACCGTCAGCACAAGGCAAGGTTTTGCGCACTTCTGGCCAGTGAACTTCATCGCTCCGGATATCGCATGCATGGCAGGGGAATGCCAGCGCAACCCGAATTGCCAGCGATCTGAAGGGGTGAAACACTAATCTGGTCGCGTCGTACAATGTATTCGTTTAACATTTAAGACCTGTCACATCCTAAACTTTCGCGTAGATGAGCTCTAGAGTCTCGAAGAGCGTACAACATTATGTCCTACCCATACAAATTCGTCACTCGGACGGTGGCGAGCAGCGCGTGCCACCCCGGTGATTGTACTGAAAAGGCACGCATACATATGGCGAGAGAGGCAGTGGCGGCCGGGCCGCCTGCCGACGCTCTTCTTTGTACGAGTCTTCTCGAGCGGAGCCGCTGGCCGCTGGAAGACGGAGGTGGCACCAGGCGTCGCCCATCGCAACACGGGCGAGCCGCCGCACAGCCGCCACAGGGCCGGCGCGCCGCGCACGCCAGCCGGACAGCGATGAGTGTGAGTGGGTGAGCGAGGCAGCGGACACGAGACCGCGCAGTAACAACGCCGCGCGGCCGAGGAACTGGCGCCGCCGTCGCTAGAGCAGGTAGCGCTCGGCCACCGGCGACGGTGGCGGTGGTTTGGGCCGGTGCTCGCGCCGCGGCGCCGCCGGCCGGTTGGCCGCCACCGACGGCGGCGGCGGCGGCGGCGGCAGCGCCACGCCGTACGTGTCCGACTCGTAGTCCGAGTCGAGCGCTGAGCCGCAGCGGTAGGCGTAGTAGGTGGCCGAGTCCGAGTCGCACACGTCGGTGCTGCACGGCGTCGGCGGCGGCGGCCGGTTGCGCAGCTTGTAGTAGCGGTAGGAGCCGACTGTGGCTGCGTGACTGGAGCCAGCGGCGGCTGACGAGGCGGCCGCCGAGTGCAGCGCCGTCGCCGGGCTCGGCGGCGGATTCAGCGGCTCCAGCGGGTAGCGCGTGCCGGCCGAGCCGGAGCTCGAGCTGGAGGCACCCGTCACATGCGCCCGGTCATACGGCGGCGAGCTGACCGGGCTGGAGGCCGGCGCTGCCGGCCGTGCCAGCACCGACAGCGGTACTGACTCGCGGCGTGGCCGGCCGCTGCGCCGCGCACCACCGGCGGTGCGAGGCCGCACACCCGGTGGCCCGGCGGCCGGCGCCAGCGGACCGCCGCCTGCCTCCGGCTCTGGCTTGACCTTGCCGCCGCGGCAGCGACACCACCAGAGCACGAACGCAGCCACGGCCAGCGCGATGACGGCGAACACGGACAGGATAACAAGCAGGCTGTGCTGCGAGCGCGCGGCGCCGGCCGCCGGGCCAACGCGGCGCACGCTGCCGGCGCACAAGGCCGCCAGCTCGTCCTCACTGTGCGCGCAGTGCGACACACCGTCGCACAACTGCTTCAGTGACACGCACTGCTGCGACCGGTCGCAGAAGTATTGATTCGGCTGGCAGCAGACCGGCTCGTCCGAGCCGTCGTCGCACTGCGGCCGCCCGTCGCAGGCCAGCTGGCGGTCGATGCACTGGCCGTTGTGGCAGGCGAACTGGGCGGTCGTGCACGCCGAGCAGCTGAGCTCGTCGGCGCCGCCGGCGCACTCCGGCTTGCCGTCGCACCTGTGGCGGGGTCACCAGCTCGTCACCAGTGGCGCTCACTGCTCGGGCGCGGGGTGGGCAAACTCGGCAGCCGCGCGCTCTAACTGCCTCGGCTCACGCCCGTCACCGGATTACGAGTCGGAGCTTCACAATTGCGCCTTGTGTTATGCGCCCGTGATGCGAGGGCAGACACGTGACCCTCCCCAGTTCAAACGGGAGCCGTGCTGACACGTGCGACGATTCCATCGGACAAGCCAGTCCCGAAGCTCGACGCCAACGACAGCCAGTCTCAGATCCCGCCGCCACCGTCGACATCCCCGCGCCAGGCGCGCGCCGGCCGCCTACCTCCACCTGATGGGCACGCAGGCGGGCTTGCCGTGCGGACAAGCGAACTCGTCTCGGCCGCACGACGGTGGCTGCCGGCAGGTGCGGTTGTCGCGGCCCAGCGTCAGGCCGCGCGGGCACGAGCACGTCGCCTGGCCCGCCACGGCCACGCACAGGTGCGAGCACAGCCCGTTGCCGTAGCACGGGTGCGAGGTGATCGTCTGAGGGGGGCCGTCGACATGTCACTACGGTACCAGCGGCCTACACCACGCGTGCTCTTCACAAGCAAACCCGCTAATCTGCCTGTGTCACAGCGCTTTGTGCAGGTTCTACACTTGAGTACGTACGACATGGTCCCCCATGAACATGTCACGGCTTGGGAACATCGCGCTTCCGTGAAGAATGGGCCTCGCCGTCGGGTGTACCCTACCGCTGACCTGCCGTGTGAGGCGGGACACTGCCGCTAGAGCGGTGAGCCCCTCCATGCGGCTGACGACGACGTGGTGCTCCTTGCCCGTCTGTTTGTGCACGCGCTCGATCAGCTGCTGGTCGGGGTCGACCCAGTACAGGAAGTCGCCAAGCACAGCCAGGCCGCGCACCTTGCCCAGCGACCTGTCCACCAGCAGCTGCCTGCGCACCGGCCGGTCGCGGTCAGCTCCGGTCCGGCACGCGGCGCCGCCCAGACAGCACCGGGCAACCACCACAAGTCACGGTCCACCACAGCCAAGGCAGCACAAGGGGCGGCTCATCATCAGCCACGGCTAGCTGTGACGAGACATGTGTCCCGACCCGGACCTGAACCGTCACTTTATTTGTCGAATGGCTCGCACCTACCGCCAGCTGCAGACCAGGTGCCGCTCGTCCGGTGCCGAAGCCTCGACGCTGCGCCAGGCCCAGGCCTGACCATAGCAAGTTCAGTACAATGCCGCCATGGAGCGCCCCGGCCGGACGCTGCCGGCGCCGGCCACTCACTTTTTGCCGTGCAGGTCTGAGGACCAGATTTTCTGCCTGTCAGCCCAGAAGACGCGCTTGGAGTGAAAGTCGGCGGCCAGGCCGGAGGGGAACGCGATCTGACGGTCGACCAGGATCCGCCGCTGCGAGCCGTCCAGCCGCGACAGCTCGATCCGCGCCGGCGACGCCACGTTCGTCCACACCATCAGACTGGCCGGCACACCACGTCAGCGTCAGCGTCAGCATGAGCATGAGCATGAGCATCAGTACCAACACCAGTGCCAGCATCGGCGCCAGTACCGGCACCCGCACCAGCACCAGCACCAGCACCAGCACCAGCACCGGCACTGGCACTGGCACCAGTATCAGCACCGGTGCCGGCACCGGACCCTCAGAACACGCCCACTCAGGCTCGCCAGCCATAGAGGTGTCTGGAGCCCACAAAGGCTCCCATGCATCCTCTACACGCCTAGAAACGATTCGGGGGGAGTACGCACAAACGGGCACTTGGACACGTCGGGAAGACAAGCACGCACAGTATGCACACGCACACCTCACATGGACTTTGAAAGGCAGGTATATGTGGAAGCACAAGGTGAGAGCGGACTCCAGCACGCACGCCATCGCGTGCAGTTAAGCCCGTTTGCGGGTAGACACTCACTGCATGTGGAAGCGTGCGCCGACGCCCACGTCAATTCAGAACACACGGACACGGCGGGGATCGACAGCTAGGTGTGGACGCTCACAGACCGTAAATGAAACTGCACACTGGCAGGCGCCAGGTACGGAGATGTGCGCGGCGGTGTGTTCCATGTGTGCAGACACGCACGCCCCCGCCCCGAGCCGAGGCGCGGCAGTGGCCGCCCACCCCGCGGCAGCGACGTCAGCAGGTCAGCTGTGCGCAGGCGTGCCACTGACCCGATCTCGGCCAGCAGGGCAATGTTGCGCGGCTTGTCGCTGCTGCCCGGCCCGCCGGCCACCAGGCCCACATGGCTACCGTTCAGCCGGGTCACGTTGATGGCGTTCTGCTCCGTGCACGACCAGAACAGCACGCCCGAGTACGGCTCCACCTGCCGGCGCGCAGGCGGGTCAGACGGGTGGGCGCGCAGCTCGGCGGAGCGGCGCATGGCGCGGCGTCACCATGGCGGGCACCGGCGCGTGGCAAGCAGCCGGCAGCGCGGTGCCGGCCGGTGCGGTCCGTGGTTCCGACCTCACATTACATAGCTGGCAGGCACGAGAGGACTGATACTCCCAGCCAACCGGCCAATACCCGCAGTCTGGTCGCCACCGCCCCGGCACCCACCTGGATGTCGTAAGGCCGGTGCGAGCCGCCCAGACTGTGCACCAGGATGTACTGTGCCGTGTTGTCGTCCCGCGCACGGCGGATCGTCTGTAACCGGGCACAGCGTCAGTGTAGCGGCCAATGTACGGAAAACACAGATACCTATACAGCATGATGTCTGCTGGATATGTGCCACGGCTTCTGACCAGATGAACGGAGAGCAGCCATCGGACAGTGACCTCGCCGCGCGGCGCCGGCTCGGCGGCGGCCCACTCGCCTGCGTTTTGGCGTCTGCCCAGTACAGATGCTGGTTGTTGGGGTCGAACGAGAGGGCGCGCGCGTTGCGCACGGCCGAGATGGGCAGGGTGATGTCGGGCGCCTCGTCTGGCAGCGACACGTAACGATGGATGCGGCTGCGCTGCGCGAACAGCAGGAACTCGGACGGCGCTGTCAACGGCCACCAGGTTCGGGTCAGTCCAACAGGCGCGCGCCACGGACTGGCCACCAGTGCGAACGTTCAGTCTCGATGGGTGGGCCTGGTGGCAAACGGCCCACGAGCACAGGATACACAATCGCACGCAGATGGCCAGACGGCACAGGATCGCCGCTCATATACCCACATGGCCAGACGGCACAGGATCGCCGCTCATATGCCCACGTGGCCAGACGGCACAGGATCGCCGCTCCCACGCGCAGCGTCTGAGCTCGAGTCGACAGAAGTGTGAAGCGACGGTAGCACCTAACGCGTGCAGCTGGCTCGCCACCAGCATCACTACCCGGTGCAGCCCCCCGCTGCGGCGCTGTTCGATCAGCTCCGCAGCGGGGGTGTCGTCAGTATCGCCCGCCCCGATGCAGCCCCCCGCTGCGGTGCCGTTCGATCAGCTCCGCAGCGGGGGTATCGTCGGTATCGTCGGCCGCTCGTATCGTCCGCGTCGGCGGCTGTGGTCGTGACCGAAGCGCCCTCGTCGCGGCAGAAGCCCTCCCCGCCGGCGGCAGACGTGGCCCGTCCGGCCGACTCACGCTGGCAGCTGCTGCCGTCGTCGGCCAGCCGGTAGTGGGAGCGGCAGCCGCAGCGGTGGTCGGCCGTCTGGCCGTCTGGGGTGCGGGGCCGAGCAAAGCACAGGCCCTCGCAGCCGCCGTTGTCGAGCGCGCACGATGTCCAACCGGCCTGCTGCGCCCGGTGGAACACCACGATGTCCATCACGAACTCGACGTCCTCCTTGACGACGCTGCGATTCTGGCCGGTCAGCTTGTCAGCGCGCTGGATGCGCTTGTCGGCCCATTCTGTCCAGTACACGTGCGGCCCGTACACCGCCAGTGCGTACGGCTTCTTCAGGTCGGCCAGCACCACGCGCCGCCCCTCGCCGGCCAGCAGCACCGACTCGACCCGCCCGCCGTCGATGTCGACCCAGAGCAGTCGGCCGGCTTCCTGGTCCACCGTCAGCCCGTTGGAGCGGCCCACCGACGTGACGAACCGCGCCGCCTCCGAGCAGTCCAGCTGTGACCGGTACAGCGATGGCTCGTGGTCCCAGTCCGACCAGAACAGGTACCTGGCGGCCATGGTCGGCGCCGTCAGTGGCGCAACAACAGCAGCAGCGCCATCCCATCAAGGACAACGAGATGCCGTACTCTCCCGGCACATTAATGGGCCAAGACCCTGGACACAAACGCCACGTCTAACACTGGGTGGTGCGCGGCCAAAAGGACACCCCTCGGTCCTCCCCGCAGTCCCCACGAGGCGCCGGCGGTCAGCGACTCACCCGGCGCCTGCGTCGACGGCGATGCTACGTGGATGGTTGGCGCTGTTCCACAGCAGCACGCGCCGACTGGCGCCGCTCAGACGCGCCACCTCGATGCGGCCCGTCATCGCCTCCGACCAGTAGATGTTGCCCGCCATCCAGTCCACGGCGATGCCTGGCGGACCGATTTTTCATTCACCACAGGCACACGGCACAGGCAATCACTCCGGCCGGCGGCCCCGCTTCGCCGGTATGCATCGCCCCTGAATGTGCGCACGATCCTGAAAGTGACCTGCAGTTTTCAGCTTGAGTCAACTGTCCGTTGAAGGCCGTGTTCGTTCATGTATATAACTGAACGTCACAGAACACAAAAGGCACTATAATTCAAACCCCGGAAACGGCTGATTACACAGCACTATCCGACATCCCGCATCAGCTGTGAGCGGCTCATCTGACACTAAACCCTCGCGCAGTAGCTCATCAGTTCCAGCTCGCATCGACGCGCCGCGACGTACACGGACGCCGTGCGGCGATCCACGTTACCTTCGGGGAATTCCGTGTCAAGTTCGATGATCTTCTGAAGACCGGAGCCGTTGGTATAGGCGCGCGAGATGGACGTGTCGTTGATGTCCATCCAGTAGATGCGCTGGTCGTGCATGTTGAAGTCCAGCGCGCTGCGGGCGGACCACACCTGGCCGTCAGCGAACACAACGCCACTTTCGACGGCAGGCAACACAGCGAACACACCCCAGCAGACACACTCCTGACAGCAAACACAGCGAACACGCCGCCACCCCCGACGGCAGGGAACACAGCGAATACACCTCAGCGGACACACTCCTGACAGCAAACATAGCGAACACCCCGCCACTCTCGACGGCAGGGAACACACCGCCACTCCCGACGGCAGAGAACACAGCGAGCGTACCCCAGCAGACACACTCCTCACAGCAAACACAGCGAACACACCGCCACTTCCAACGGCAGGGAACACAGGCGAATACACCTCAGCGTACACACTCCTGACAGCAAACACAACGAACACACTACCACACCCGGCCGTCAGCGAACACACCGCCGCTCCCGACGGCAGGGAACACAGCGAACACATCCCACCAGACACACTCCTGACAGCGAACACAGCGAACACGCCGCCACACCCGGCCGACAGCGAACACACTGCCACTCGCGACGGCAGGGAACACACCGTCAGTCCCGACGGCAGGGAACACAGCGAATACACCCCAGCGAACACACTCCCAACGACGGGGAACACAACGAATACACGTCAGTGAACACACAGCCACTCGAACGGCAGGGAACACAACAAACACACTCAGCGAACACACAGCCACTCGAACGGCAGGGAACACGACGAACACGCGTTAGCGAACACACTCCCGGCGGCGGGGAACACAGCGAACACACGTCAGCGAACACGCGTCAGCGAACACACAGCCACTCGAACGGCAGGGAACATAACGAACCCTCGTCAGTGAACACAGAGCCACTCGAACGGCAGGGAACACAACGAACACGTCAGCGAACACACTCGACGGCGGGTAACACAACGAACACACGTCAGCGAACACACAGTCACTCGAACGGCCGGGAACATAAAGAACACAAGCCAGCGAACACACAGACACTCGAACGACAGAAAACACAGCGAACATTCGTCAGCGAATACACAGCCACTCGAATGGCAGGGAACATAACGAGCACACGTCAGCGAGCACACAGCCACTCGAACGGCAGGGAACACAGCGAACATTCGTCAGCGAACACACTTTGAACAGGCGGCGGGGGAGGGGAAAACAACGGGAGCGGGAGCGATGACATCCACTGCGCTGCTGCTGTCCACACAATGCACTGATGTCTGGGGCAGGGCAGCACATGGACCAGTAACACATGGCAACAACGGCCATTGCTGCGACCTGACTACCCAAGTCTCGCCAATTTGCCTCCGGCATGCAAGTGAAGCGTGAATCAAGGGTGATATACCGGCTGAAACAGCATAATACACTCACCCGGCCTGCTTGATGCCTGGTATGGGAATGATGACGTCATTCAGGAACGTCTCCAGGCTGATACGCCGTATAAACTTCTTCTGGCTGTAGAGCAGGAACGCCTTGGGCACGATGCAGGTTTTCAAGTCCTTGGTCAGCTCGTGGCCTGGCAGGGAGCCGACGCGCAGCCATGTTAAGGGCTGACCGGGACGCGAAGACGGCACCCGTGAAATCAGAGGGCACACGCCACGGGAGCCGCCCTCCCCAGCTAATGGCCCTCTGTCTCCGTCAGGGGTTCGTATCGCTAGCCCGGCGGCGTCTTGTGAGCAAATGTCACATCGTCGAGGTAGATGAGCCATATTCAACCAAGCTTGGTATACGGAAGGCCTTCAGCTGCCTGTTCCTCGGCGCCATGAGTTCAAATTTCTTGAGCTGAGTCAACGACCTTTAATGTGCTAGCTGGTACTGGATAAACGGATCAGTATTCGAAACCCTAATGCGTCGCAAATACTAATATATCGCAGCCCCTAATGTATCAAAGCTCCGAATGCTTCATAACATATAATGCATCGAAACACTTGATGCTTCATAGCTCCTAATGTACCACAACGCCCAATGCATGTTTGCACTTGATGCTTCGCAGCCCCTCATGTACCACAATGTCTGATATATCAGAGCACCCGATGTATCAAACAGCCTGGCGTATCATAATCCCTGATGTTTCATGATGCCCAGCGCATCGTAATCCCTTATGCTCGTAGCCCTTGATGCATCATAAACCCTAACGTTTCAAAATGTCTAATACATTAAAACACCAAGACTTGTGTCATGACCCACAATGTTCCTAACGCCTAATATCAGCTGACGGCAGTGGGTGTGTCGCATGCGATTTTGGCCAGCACCATGAGCTATTGGTATGCTATCAACTGAATGTCCACTGAACGTCTACTGAAACACGTGCCAGCAATCTGAAGCCGCTGTCAAATTGGAGCAGTGCCCACGCTGCTCCAGGCGCTCCAAGAAGGCTTGAATTTTAAAAGTGAGGAGCAGTACCAACAGGTTGTAGGTTGTTTGGTGCGCATGGATACACTGTGTTATTTTTAGGTGTCCCCTCCAGACGGCGTCCCAGCATGGTCAGTTGAAGGCATTTGTAAGCCCAAAGTGGTCGCCGACTTAAGTTGTTTTCCTGTGACTAACTGTGACCGAAGAGGGATATGACAGTTTCTGGGCTGGGCTCTGTTTGCCCTTGTATCTGGCAATCGTATGCGCCAAAAATAAATACATAACTCAGTAGACCGGGGTGGAAGGTCTATTCCCAGGGAAGCGGTCAAAAATCGCCAGCCATCGCCTGCGTCGTCAGCTATATTAGGAGTTATAATTAAGGGTTATGATCCACGTGTTGTGATAAATTAGGTGTCATGATATGTAAGCAGTTGCGATAAATTAGGGGTATGAACCTAAAGGATTACCATACGTCCGATGTTATGATATACTAGGTGTTCTGATACATTAGGTGACATGCCATATTAGGAGCCTGGATACACTAGGGATGTGAAACATTGTGTAATTTGATACGTTAGGTGTTACGATACGTCAGGCCTTGCGACACAATAGGGGTCATGATATATGAACGATTATGAAGATAAGGCTTTATGACATGTTTGGGTTATGAACTTTAGGTGCTGTGATACATCAGGTGTTACGAGTCATGACTTGATATGAGAGTCATAACTTATGACATGTTGGTGGTTGTGATAATTTAGGTGTTCCGAACATTAGGTGTTAAAATGCACCGGTGGTTACGAACATTGCGAGTTGCGATAATGCCACGGTTAAACGAACTTGTGCTACGCAACCAGCATATTGACGGTAATCAATAGTTCGAGCTGTGCTCAACCTAAAGAGGATGAGAATCAGGATGACTTGAGGGCTTGAAATAAAACCTCAAATGCACAAATCAATTTCGAAGCACACAGCTCAAAATATTAAGAGCCGTCAACAAAATGGTTAGGTAGCAAAAAAATGTCGCTAAAACAGTACCTACCGGTATATCAAAAAAGCGAAACTCAACAGAAGAGCTTTGAACTCATAATTCAAGCAAGCGTTGCATTGCAGACCAGCCCAGCCCTGACGAGCCCGGGTCGATCGGACGCTGACAGAAGACCGCGGTACCAGGTCAGCCCTGACGAGCCCGGGTCGATCGGACGCTGACAGAAGACCGCGGTACCAGGTCAGCCCTGACGAGCCCGGGTCTGTCGGACGCTGACAGAAGACCGCGGTACCAGGTCAGCCCTGACGAGCCCGGGTCTGTCGGACGCTGACAGAAGACCGCGGTACCAGGTCAGCCCTGACGAGCCCGGGTCTGTCGGACGCTGACAGAAGACTGCGGTACCAGGTCAGCCCTGACGAGCCCGGGTCGATCGGACGCTGACAGAAGACTGCGGTACCGGCCCAGCCCTGACGAGCCCGGGTCGGTCGGCCGCCGACGGGCTACAGTGACTACAGTGCTGTGCTGTACAACTGTGACCGCGCCGCCGGCGGCGTCGCTCACCGATGGGGCAGTGGCAGGCCGGTCCGTCAGGCGTGTTGAGGCACAAGTGCGAGCAGCCGGCGTTGTCGCCCCAGCACCGGTTGGTGCCGGTCTCAGCCGAGCGCGACACCACGCGCAGTCCCATCAGGTCGGGCAGGTGCTCCACGATCACCTCCCGGTCAGCACCTGTGCCGCAGAGGACCGGGACCAGGCTCGCGTCAGCACATCACCGGTGTCAGGTCGGCTCTGCGTCAGCACGACATCACCGGTGTCAGGTCGGCTCTGCGTCAGCACGACATCACCGGTGTCAGGTCGGCTCTGCGTCAGCACGACATCACCGGTGCCAGGTCGGCTCTGCGTCAGCACGACATCACCGGTGTCAGGTCGGCTCTGCGTCAGCACGACATCACCGGTGTCAGGTCGGCTCTGCGTCAGCACGACAGCGGTGTCAGGTCGGCTCTGCGTCAGCACCACATCACCGGTGTCAGGTCGGCTCTGCGTCAGCACGACATCACCGGTGTCAGGTCGGCTCTGCGTCAGCACAACAGCAGTGTTAGGTCGGTTATGCACATCAGCGGTGTCGGGTCAGTTCTGCACCAGCATGACAACAGCGTTGTCAGGTCAGCTCTGCGTCAGCACAACAGTAGTGTCGGGTCAGTTCTGCGTCAGCACGACAACAGCGGTGTCAGGTCAGCTCTGCGTCAGCACAACAGCAGTGTCAGGTCGGCTATGCGTCATCACAACAGCGGTGTCAGGTCGGCTATGCGTCATCACAACAGCGGTGTCAGGTCGGCTATGCACGTAAGCGGTGTCGGGTCAGCCCTGCGTCAGCACGGCACCAGCCGTGTCAGGTCAGCTCTGCGTCAGCATGGCAACAGCGGTGTCAGGTCGGCTATGCGTCAGCACAACAGCGGTGTCAGTCGGCTATGCACATCAGCGGTGTCGGGTCAGCTCTGCGTCAGCACGGCAACAGCGGTGTCGGGTCAGCTCCGCGTCAGCATGGCATCAGCGGTGTCAGGTCAGTTCCGCGTCACAGTCGGGTACCCTGTGCATCTCATCGGTCTGGCCCAGCACAAGCGCGCCAACTTTGCCCGCCACTTTGATCCAGATTTCATCCGTCATGTGGGTGGATAGCTGTCAGCTAAAACTGATGTTTTACCTTCTGTATAGCAGAGATACCACAGATGCGCTCTTTTGCCTTCGCGCGACAGCCTCAGCCAACGCCCAGCGGCGGTAAAAATTGTCATTGGCGTTCGACGACTTCAGCACTCCCCCTCCCAGCTTTCGCAACACGGATAAAAAGTTTACGCGGAACGCCGCGCCGAATGTTTTGACCGATTTACCGTGGAATTTACTGACGCTGCGGGTGGGACAGATGGTGGGGGTCAGGATGTGGATGACAGGGGCCGGAGGCTAGCCGCAGCCTGGGAGCATTGGACGGGTGGAGGATCTGGTGGTCAACGTCGGAACGAAGAAGGATAAAGCAGCTGGTCCTGTAGAAAAAAATCCAGCAGGTTAGAAAGAGGAAGCTCGTGTCATGCATCAGGTTAGTAACCATTTCAGCCTGCAATCCAGCTGTGCGCCCGCCATGACCCCGCGCTCGCGCTCGCACTGGTCCCGTCTTTTATCACCAGGCCAGGCGCCCGTCAAAGCGCTGACGTTTGTCCGCATGTTTGTGCGAACGTGCGATCTACCTTACCTGTGACCTTGTGCGCCCGCTCGATGCGCCGCAGGGTCCAGTCAGTCCAGTAGACGAAATCATCGAGCAGGGAGATGCCAAACACGTGCGGCACCTCACTACTGACCAGCACACGGCGGCCGGACCCGTCCATGCCGGCCACCTGCGAACACAGAGGCAGGTGCACTCTCGCATCCAAACACGGCCCAACACACAGCGGCCGGGGCGGTCCATCCCGGCCACCTGCGAACACAGAAGCAGGTGCACTGTCGCATCCAAACACGGCCCAAACACACAGCAGCCGAGGCGGTCCATCCCGGCCACCTGCGAACACAGAGGCAGGTGCACTGTCGCATCCAAACACGGCCCAACACACAGAGCGGCCGGGGCGGTCCATCCCGGCCACCTGCGAACACAGAGGCAGGTGCACTGTCGCATCCAAACACGGCCAACACACAGAGCGGCCGGGGCGGTCCATCCCGGCCACCTGCGAACACAGAGGCAGGTGCACTGTCGCATCCAAACACGGTCCAGCACACAGAGCGGCCGGAGCGGTCCATCCCGGCCACCTGCGAACACAGAGGCAGGTGCACTGTCGCATCCAAACACGGCCCAACACACAGCGGCCGGAACCGTCCATCCCGGCCACCTGCGAACACAGAAGCAGGTGCACTGTCGCATCCAAACACGGCCCAACACCGAGCGGCCGGAGCGGTCCATCCCGGCCACCTGCGAACACAGAGGTAGGTGTACTGTCGCATCCAAACACGGCCCACCACAGAGCGGCCGGAGCGGTCCATCCGGCCACCTGCGAAACACGAGGTGCACTGTCGCATCCAAACACGGCCCAACACACAGAGCGGCCGGAGCGGTCCATCCCGGCCACCTGCGAACACAGAGGCAGGTGCACTGTCGCATCCAAACACGGCCCAGCACACAGAGCGGCCGGAGCGGTCCATCCCGGCCACCTGCGAACACAGAGGCAGGTGCACTGTCGCATCCAAACACGGCCAGCAACAGAGCGGCCGGAGCGGTCCATCCCGGCCACTGCGAAACACAGAGGTAGTGTTACTGTCGCATCCAAACACGGCCCAGCACAGAGCGGCCGGAGCGGTCCATCCCGGCCACCTGCGAACACAGAGGCAGGTGCACTGTCGCATCCAAACACGGCCCAACCGAGCGGCCGGAGCGGTCCATCCCGGCCACCTGCGAACACAGAGGCAGGTGCACCTGTCGCATCCAAACCACGGCCCACACACAGAGCGGCCGGAGCGGCCATCCGGCCACCTGCGAACACAGAGCAGGTGCACTGTCGATCCAAACACGGCCCCAACACCGAGCGGCCGGAGCGGTCCATCCCGGCCACCTGCGAACACAGAGGTAGGTGTACTGTCGCATCCAAACACGGCCCAGCACACAGAGCGGCCGGAGCGGTCCATCCCGGCCACCTGCGAACACAGGCAGGTGCACTGTCGCATCCAAACACGGCCCAACACCGAGCGGCCGGAGCGGTCCATCCCGGCCACCTGCGAACACAGAGGCAGGTGCACTGTCGCATCCAAACACGGCCCAACACAGAGCGGCCGGGGCGGTCCATCTGGGCCATCCGAGCCCACGCCGGGACCCTCTCCTCAGTACACGTCCACTGGCCGTCGAGCGCACAAACGTCACTGCAGGCAGGCAGGCAGGCGTCACCAGAGCTTGACCGCTGGCGGTACAGCCGGTGATCTGGGGCGATTCCAACCAATGATCCCCAGTGACAGCTCCGACGTCCAAGCCGAATCAACTCATCCACAATGCCCTCAGGAGACATGAGCCCGCGAGGCCCCGGTGATTATTTCGTGTCTCAGCAACGGGCGTCACTGGCATTCAACCAGCCAAAGGCAAGCCCCGCTGACCAGATAGCATAGAACAGCCAGCCACGTCCGTGTTCTGGTCAGCCAGTGACCTGCCGACACGGCGCGCCTTCAGCTGCGTACCTCGATGCGGTCGATGCCGGCGTCGCACCAGAAGATCTGGCGCAGCTGGAAGTCGAGCGTAATGCCGTTCGGCCACTTAAGGTCCGAATCGAAGAGCACCTGGCGGTGCGAGCCGTCCAGCGCCGAGCGCTCGATCTTGGGCCGCTGCTCGCCCCAGTCGGACCAGTACATGTGCCCGGCCGCCGGGTCGACGGCGATGGCGCGAGGCTCGTCCAGCTCCTCAGAGATCAACACCTGGCACGATGGCGGGATGACGTCACGCTGCTGGCGCCGGCACATCAGTCCGTCCAGCCCCCACCTGCCACCAACAGCTGCTGGCGCTGGCACATCGGTCCGTCCAGCCTGCACCTATCACCACCAGTTGCTGGCGCCGGCACATCGGTCCGTCCAGCCCCCACCTGTCACCAACAGTTGCTGGCGCCGGCACATCGGACGTCCAACCTCCACCTATCACCAACAGTTGCTGGCGCCGGCACATCGGTCCGTACAGCTCCCACCTGTCACCAACAGCTGCTGGCGCCGGCACATCGGTCCGTCCAGCCCCCACCTATCACCACCAGTTGCTGGCGCTGGTGCATCGGTCCGTCCAGCCTCCACCTATCACCACCACCCGACACAGGCACCGGGGGGGGGGGGGGGGCGTTGTGCTCAGTGCCAACGGCGCCAAGCTCGTCCAGCCATTACCAAGTCAACACGCAACACCCCGCACCTCGAACAGCACCCGGCGCGTCGCCATTCGTCGCTGACAGATCACGCTCATGATTTACGCTCACGTCCAAACAACAACCAACCGAATCCGGTACGTGCCCTATCCCTAACGATAACACCGCCGAAGACGCCCTATGTAACCGACGACAGGCACAAGAGAGCACACAGCCGCCCGTCGGCGCATCGTTCCATCCGGCTATCGCCAGCGGCACAGCTACGACAGCGGCAAGACAGCTGCCCGGCCGCGGTGCTGGGTAGCCGGCCAGGGCAGGGCCAGCACCCACCTTGCGCGAAGAGCCGTCCAGCCGCGCCACCTCGATCCGGTTGGGTCCGGTGTCGGTCCAGTGCACGTTGCGCGCGATCCAGTCGATGGCCAGGCCGTCGGGGCTGTGCAGCTCCGAAAGGACCACACGCTGCTCGCCCGAACCGTCCAGCCACACCCGCTGGATGATCTTGTTCTGCGGAACAGAGCGACGATCACAGGAAGCACGAAGGCACGGACCCGGCAGCGAGGCACGGACAGCTGGCGGAATCACACGGAACGAGCGGCGACCGCTGCACGGCGGGCACCTTGCCCCAGCTCTGCACAGCCAGTATTGACGCTGCACAGCCAGCACCGACCCAGCTCTCAGTACAGCCAGCACTGACCTGGCTCTGCGTACAGCCAGTACTGACCCGGCTCTCCGTACAGCCAGTACTGACCCGGCTCTCCGTATGGCCAGCACTGACCCGGCTCTCCGTACAGCCAGTACTGACCCGGCTCTCCGTACAGCCAGTACTGACCCGCCTCTCCGTACAGCCAGCACTGACCCGGCTCTCCGTACAGCCAGTACTGACCCGGCTCTCCGTACAGCCAGCACTGACCCGGCTCTCCATACAGCCAGTACTGACCTGGCTCTCCGTACAGCCAGCACTGACCCGGCTCTCCGTACAGCCAGTACTGACCCGGCTTTCCGTACAGCCAGCACTGACCCGGCTCTCCGTACAGCCAGCACTGACCCGGCTCTCCGTACAGCCAGCACTGACCTGGCTCTCCGTACAGCCAGTACTGACCCGGCTCTCCATACAGCCAGCACTGACCCGGCTCTCCGTACAGCCAGCACTGACCCGGCTCTCCGTACAGCCAGCACTGACCCGGCTCTCCATACAGCCAGTACTGACCCGGCTCTCCGTATGGCCAGCACTGACCCGGCTCTCCGTACAGCCAGCACTGACCCGGCTCTCCGTATGGCCAGCACTGACCCGGCTCTCCGTACAGCCAGCACTGACCCGGCTCTCCGTACAGCCAGCACTGACCCGGCTCTCCGTATGGCCAGCACTGACCCGGCTCTCCGTACAGCCAGCACTGACCCGGCTCTCCGTACAGCCAGCACTGACCCGGCTCTCCATACAGCCAGCACTGACCCGGCTCTCCGTATGGCCAGCACTGACCCGGCTCTCCGTATGGCCAGCACTGACCCGGCTCTCCGTACAGCCAGCACTGACCCGGCTCTCCGTACAGCCAGCACTGACCCGGCTCTCCGTACAGCCAGCACTGACCCCCTGACGATTATCACGGGCGACTCCCAAAGCCAGAGAGCACATCCAATGTCCCAACCAGCGCTGTCCCACTCTCCACTGTGGGCCGCGTTGCTGGGCGGTTTCGTCGGTCCCGGTGCGGACCAGCCACCGCCCAGGTGCGCAGCCAGGCGCCTCACCCCTTCGTCGGTCCAGTAGAGCGCGTCCTCCACTGGGTCATAGTCGACGGCCACGGCGTGGTTGACGCCCTTGAGCGGCAGCACTATGTCCGTGTGGTCCGGTGTGTCCAGCGAGATGACGCGCAGGTCGGTGCGCCGCGCCAGCATGATGAGCCGCTCCGGGCCTGCCGGTCGACGGCGGAGCGGTGGTCAGACGCCGCCGCCGGCCACACCACACCGCCACAGACACGCCGACGTACGAGCCCGCGCACAGCCTCCCGCCAAAAGCTGGGAGCTGCAAAAGCGCTGCCATGTCACTTCCAACAAGAGCTGGCGGAGCAGCGGACGTGTCAAGTCGGGCACAGCGGTCAGACTGCAAAACCCGGCCGGCAGCCGCAGCCGCAGCGGCAAGGGCTGGCGGAGCAGGGGACGTGTCAAGTCGGGCACAGCGGTCAGACTGCAAAACCCGGCCGGCAGCCGCACCCGTAGCGGCATGAGGGCGGCACGCGGCGACCCACTCACGGTCGGCGCAGCGGGTGGCATTTAGCAGCCGGATGCCGGTGGGGCATGAGCAGGCGTGGCCGGCCGGACTGGGCGACAGCAGGCACAGGTGCGAGCAGCCGCCGTTGTCTCGCGAGCAGGCCGACTCGACGGCCGGCTGGCGGGCGGCCGAGAACACGTGCAGGTCTAGCGGCTGCAGCACGACGCCGCTCTCGCCGCTAAGCACGGTGCGCACAGCCGCGCCGGTCCGCTTGTTGCACGAGTAGATGGAGCTGCGGAGGCGGCGACGACGGTCATGCCGGCGCGGACCACCGACACGGATGGTACTGCGCCGGGTCTGCTGGAGTGGCGCAGGCGGCCCCAGCCGGATGCCTATCAGCGTGAATAAGCCACGCACGGCACACACTGCAGCTAATGGGCTGACTGAGATATGCTCGTGGCTCGATCACGGCACCATGCACGGGATCAGAGCACAGGCCAATAGCACAGTGGTGGGCTTTCCCTCACGGAATGGTTGCATGCCAATGGATATCACATAGATCTCTCAGAAAATACAGCAGGTTTTTACAGTTCAGTTCCGTTTATCCCTAGACGGCCTCAGGACATGGGTTCCCAGCCACTGCTGACGACGACCCAGAAACGTACCTGACAGCGTGCCCGGAGAAGGAAGGTTGCTCACAACCTGCACAAGGCGACGCACAGCACCGGCAAGCCCAACAGCGTCACGGGACAGCTCTGCCAGTGGGCACCCTCACCGGTTCGTCCAGTCCGTCCAGAAGAGCTTGTCTTGATACAGAGTGACGGAGAAGGGGTGCGACACCTTGGGCGCCATCTGGATGACCGTCCGGCGCCCGGTACCGTCGGCCCGCTGCGCCGATATCTGCGGCCGGTCCTTGTTCGCCTCCGTCCAGTACACCACCTGCGCGCGGACCGGCGCACCAGCCATCCACTCAGCGCCAGCACGGCCATGTCGAGCGGCGCACACCGGGCGGCGGCAGCTGACGCCAGGGACTGGCGCCGACTCGCGGCCAGGCGCGCTGAGCTGTCTCGTACGGCCGCATTCAGTCACGTCACTGTTTAAGGACCCAGCTCCAGGCTAATGCAGCGGCGCCCCCAGCCGTCGGAAGCCACAAAATCACCGTCAACAGCCCATAGCCGTCAGTAATCAAAACGGCGACGTTTTGACAAGGGTGGAGGGCAAGCGGCCGGTCATTCCACGGCCGCAACCCTGCAAGCTGGTTCTGCAATAACACAGAGCACCTGAGTGGTGTGTGGGACGGGTAGTCGAACCTTGGCGTCGTAGTCGATGGTGATGCCGTTGGGCCAGAAGATGTCGTCGCTCACAAACACGGAGCGGGTGGCGAGGTCTCCATCCATGCCGGCGCGCTCGATCTTGGGCATCTCGCCCCAGTCCGTCCAAAACATCAGGCTGCATCGGTGATAGGACGACGGAATCACAACCCAGCGCCAGACACTGGCCACGACGCGACTGCGCCGGAGTCAACCCGAGCCGCATCACAATACGGGCTACATCCCATCTCGCACATTACGCTGTGCTGGCGACATTTGGGACACTCTTGCAATACCACACGCCCATCAAGAGCATTAAAATATGACATACAATGCTGGCAGTCGAGACAGCAATACAGAACAGAACATGCTAAGCCATCAGTGGTATTTCCCAATAACTTTTGCTTGTTTAAGCCCGATCCTGAAAGCACAAAAAATGTGACCATTGAAAAAGCTGCACAACAAGTCAACGTCCTTGCATCACGCCAACATATTGCCATTGTAATCAGCTTGTATGCAAGTGGCCAGGCCATCAACCGCACTTATTCGACCAGACAACTGAACACCACATGGGAACATCAGAGCAGTGTTGGAAATTCGAAAAAAATTGTCCTGGTAGTGGAGTACAAATTTTCTATCATGGAGTACAAAATTGTCCAAGTGCTGTGGGTTTGTTTAGGTTACACCTTTGTTTAGGTTATCTTTGAGAGGCACTATTACAATGGGTGGCACTCGACAAAAGTGCCACTTCCATATACAGAAATTCATGTAAAAGCACTTTAAATGAAAGAAAGTATCAGTATCAAGCATGGCACACTGAAACAGCAGTCTCACACTCTGCACTATGAAACACATGTGCATATACATTGGTTTGCAATTTATGAAAGGCTCTGTGTATACGCCCTCCAAAACGGAGGGTAATAACGCATCAGGCTTATACACTTTCCAAAATAGAGGGTGGCTACACACTGGGCTTACACACCCTCCAAAGCGGAGGGTGGGTATGATATGCACAGACAGACAAAAATGGTACACAAAAAATTCAAATGAACATGCCACAGACGGCCACCTACTCATGCTCTACCACGATCACGCTACTCACGCTCCACCACGGTCACGCTACTCACGCTTCACCAGCCAACTGGCTTTAAAAACAGCTAAACATTCATGCCCTCCACATTCCCATTCCCGGTCAGCACACGAGGCCCTGCACGTCCCACCCGAACAGTAGAGATAGGCAGCACTCTTAACCGATTTACCGAGCCGGCTTAAGTACAATGCCTGACAGACCTGTGCAGGCCGGCCAAAAGGGATCGGAGTCAGTCACTCCGCTGACTCTGACGGATAATGCAAGGTATTTTTTGATTTTGATGCGCTTTAACTGATACCATCGCGAAATATGATAATTCATGCTGCAATTCATTGATGTTTTTGTCCTAATAAACTCCTCTCTTTAACTTGCCAGCCCAAAGTCATGGGTTCATGTTACTATGGTGTCCTGATGTTTTTGCTGGAGTGAGATGGCTGTCTCCGAAGTTTTTTGGCTATTTATAGCAACGTTTTTCGGCTTAAAGTGGTATTTTTGTAAAGCCTGAATTACCAGCTTTCATTTTATGGCCCTAAGTAACAAATTTAACTTGGTTTAAATCCACAGCTGCCATAGCATTTTGTACTCTGGATACCATGAAGTGACCAAAAATCCACCACATACCAGTTCTGGATGAGTACAACTAAGTCTTACTTCATAATTGGGATGTCCATCATATACAACTTCCCTCCAAATATTTACAAATCTGTTCAAGGCATCAGTGTGAGCAGAATATTTATGCTCTTAACAAATCAGTCATGAGGAGGCAAATCATTAAAACTAATTGGAGAGTTTTGCTATGTTCAACCTCCAACCTGCGCTGGGAGGCAGGTGCAAGACACTGAATAGTTAAGACGTTTCCGACGCTGAATTGCGAGTGATTCTCTTATTTGCATCGTCATAATACAGCGGTGGCAAGTAGGTAGGCGGCTGTCTGGGATAGGTGATTGGGCGTGTGGTTCTCTGTGAACGTTTTGCATCCTTGGCAATTAATGCGGTTCGTCGTCAATGGTAGGCTAAGTCATGTTCAAGTTTGTGTTGATACCTAGGTGGTAGCACAGGCTGCTCGCTATTTGGCATTTCAGTCTGGTGGGTGCAAGATTTGTGGTCTTGCAGATATCAATACATGGCTCCTGATGGAAGCAGCAAGTCCCAAGCTGTTGCACTTTCTAGTTTTATTTTGTCCTGACACAAAGAGGCAAAATAAGTTTTGTCCCAAAAGCTGTTCTTGCTGCATCATGATCATGAGTACAAAATATTTCATTCTAAGCCACAATCCTGGAGTACAAAATATCCTGGTAAACATTATGCCAGGAAATGTCAAGTTTTCCCACACTCATCAGAGGTACCATAAAAATTTGGCTGCAGCATTATCATAGCTCTGTTCCCAGCACCGCATCTACAGCAGTTGGTGACGGGATGCGCCAGCTGGGTGCGCGCCGGCGTCAGGCTCACCCCTCGGATGGGAGAAGTGCGATGGCCCGCGGCCGGTCCACCTGCTCCCAGAAGAGCACGCGTCGGTTGGCGCCAGAGCGGCTGGCCACCTCGATGATCTTTGTGTCGCTGTCCGTCCAGTAGATCTTATCGGTGACCCAGTCGATGGCCAGACCGTCCGGGTTCACCATGCGAGCAGTGATTACCCGGCGCTGGCGAGGAGGGGGGGGGGGGACAGGGGGTGTAAGGTGCTGCTCGGCAGAGAACAGACACACATGCTTTACAAAGATTTCCCACAGACCTTCTGAGGCTACAGACTCGATCTGGACTGATGTCATTTTGGAACAGAACAGGCTCTTACAAGACAAGTCAGGTGTTTGAGGTTTAAGGTAAGTCAAGGCCCCTAGCATGACAGAAAATGAGGAAAGAAATTGGCACAAGACACAATGTACAGCAGAATCAATACCAGAAAATAGAAAATGTCTAAAAACAAATGTCAAACATCCAATCACTTGTACATGGCCAAATGCTCCATTACCCACCAAACAGAGGCAGTCAGGTAACTTTGCACTTGCACAGCACAATGTTTGAATTTCTGAGTACAATATTATGACACTTAAAATGTAACATTGTCACCTAAGAACTGGCACTGCAAACTAACCCGTCTCGCACGAGATGGTCCATCCAAGCTGGTGCATTTGATCTCCTCAAGGCTGATGTCAATCCAGCAGACCTCTTGCTTAGCAAAGTTGAAGTCCAAGGCAGCTGCATCATGCACACCCTGCAACACCAGTTTTCACACTTAGGTTTGTGATTACTGGTGATGAAGGCATTTTGTTTTAAAAAGAGAGATCTCCAGTAAAAGGCTGCACCTGACTACAAAACTATTAGTAACAAAGTTTGGTAGAGCAGATTACCAGAAGTAAAAGTTAACTATTTTTGCACATAAACTGAAATATATCAATATGGTGAAAACATTAGTTCTTCACAAAAAAATCCACTTGCATTTTATGAATTTTTGCAGGAAGCTTTACATGGGTTTCTCCAAACCATAACATAACATAACATAACATCACTTGACACTGAGCTAGACTGCATCTTCAAAATTCTCTTCATGAGCAGACACCTGACTTACCTTGGTAAGAACAGTGCTGTTTGTCCTTGGCCTCTGAATGTTCACCAAACGAATATCAAGTCTGTTTGCAAACAGCAAAGATGGATCCTGCACAGCACCTGCAATACAGAAGCCATGCACCCACATCACAAACAGGCCATCTGCATGTTGCTTACTATTCTAGGCAAATGGGACACTGATTGGGCATGCAGTTCACAAAACCAGAGGGAATTCATGTCACATGGGCAGGTGGTCTTTACATCTACAAACATATAAATAAAAGTAACATGCATTTACCTGATCCTTGAAATGTCAAAAAAATTGAACTGATACAAAACATCATGAAAAGTGATCACTTAACCAAGTGATACAAGCCAAAAATGACCCAGGTATCACAATGACTTATAAGATACCTTGAAGCACTGTACACCAAGCTGATTAGCCAGTGCTAGTCCTTGCAAAGATAAAATACCTGTGTATTGGGTAAAACAACTAAATGCTAGAGGTAAAAATTTTGGGTCTATTTAAGGCAATAGTTTGCAATCAACAAAATACAAATATTGAGCTGAGCCAAGTGCTGGTCACCATCAAATGTTTTCAATAGAACCTTGTGAAAACAAGTAATTGTGGTGTAGTAAATCCTACACAGCTGGTGCAGAACTTTGGGACCATCCTCAGTGGTTGCCTCCACTTAGTCAATATTATCATCCATCAATAAAGTGATGACTGGTAATGAACTGAAGGAGATATGAACATGCTGTTTGGATGGCTTTTAGCATTTGAAATCAGCACAAAATGTCTTGAACTCCATTTTTAGTCTGATGAGCTACTGTAATGAAAAAATCATCCTTTAATATACCAGGCAGGGCATATTGGTCAAATGAACTTATCAAGCAACCAAAGGTTATATTGAGAAATCACAACTTGGTGTGAGACAACATCTGAGCTTGCAGTCACAGGTGGCAAAGCATAAAGTTGAACACATGAGCACACTAGATAGGTTACAAGTAGGTGTACATGCTCAGAAATAATTTATATGAATAAGTTGCAGCTGCCAAAACTGATAGCAAATGTCCCATAACTGTAACTCCTAACCAGTACTTACAAGGTTGATTATTTTCAACATTGGGCCCCCAACTCAAAACAGCACTATCAACTATTTCACCCAAAATTTATGATCTACCCATGCATGTAGCATCCATGCAAAGGCCAAAAGGTCTCCCCCAGGAACGGGAAAACTAGAATGTATGGATAATCAAACATGGATTAATGCAAACACACATCTGCTTAAGGTGACCAAGAACTATTTGAGTGCTCAAAAATATGAAATAACAATTCAGGAAACTGGAGCAGCATGCTTACCTTGTATCAGCTTCAGGCACAGCAACAGATAGGTTAAAGCCAATGTGGGGTTTAACCAGTTTGCCATCACCTTCCACTACATCCCAACAAGCATTTACAGAATCTGTATTAGTTTGGGATATCTTGCAAGTAAATTAGTTCTTCAGAATGCCAATATTTTTCAACTTCGACACATCCATGAATGTGGATTTGTTTGTGCCAGGTCTACAACGTCGCAACAAACAGATCATCGTCAAAAGCGCTAATAAGTCGCATTTGTCATTCTGACGCACCACGATGCACTTAACTTGCTATTACCACACCACGCCAACATTAAGCGAGCCTATCATGAGCATCAGAACTACCACCATTGAACAACTAGTGCCCGCGGCCTTTCGACAACCTGCGACAGCTTAGCACGCATCCGCATCTTGGCGAACAAGACAAAATGTGCGGCAAACGCGGCGATTCCAGTGAGCGCGATGCATGGGAGCATTTACTACATCACCATATTCAACAGATATCGCACCAAAACAACGCGCCGTGGACGGATAACAGGCCGCCTACGAGCTCAAGAGACCGAAACTGAACATTGGCCATCAGTGACTTCAAGTTATCAAGTTATCCCGCCATCCAGTTATCAAAGAAGGAATCCAGTTAGGGACGTCATGAAAGTCACCGGGGAAGCCACGGTCGCACGCAAGGCCTCGCGCTGTCCACCAGTGGCGGGGTTGTGCTATTGCCTGAACGGTTCGCATCCCAAAAACACCGGCATGGGCTGCCATACCACCGATGAGGCCGTGAGTCTCAAACTCTTCTCACGCCTTTGGTTGATATTTCAGATCTAGAGATTGCTTTTCAAAGCAGTGGGCACATGCATACGTGCTCAGTTATTTTAGCACCCTTGAATTTCCGAATGTCTGAATTTGCAGCATCGCTCCAATCAAGACTGGAAAATACGGAGTAGACGTTAGCGTGCCAGGATGACCTCTCGATGGCGAAATGTTGAAATCGAGTGATTTTCGGGGAAAGCTGTTGCGGCCGCTACCACACGCGTCACTGCGTGTTTTCTTTCCGTGAATGCAATAACAGTGGACTTGTAAGGCCCCGGCCCGATTTCTTCCATCGAGATTAACGCCTGCTTGACGCCGGGATTTCGTCAATGCAAGGAAAATTTGGCGTGCATCCCGACGCCTTGGTGGTCGGTGCGAGTGCCGGTCTCAGCCAGGTGCCTTGCTGCCTTTCGGCCAGTGCCCTTGTCCCAAGCCATACGATCGACCCGTGCTGTTCCTCACTGCCAAACTGCCCCTTCTGCCGCTGTTGCTTTGATCTGAACATCGGCAGCGCATTGAGCTTAAGCGGTGCGGGCTCAACGTTCAACATAAAATTAGAAATAAAATATCGCTGGAGTGAACAACACTGAGATCACCCCTGTTCGCACTGGGTTGTGGGTCGGTGTTCCCGCGTGACCAACAGGACCTGTCAAGATGTTGAGAAACGTGCATACACATCCGAGGTACGCCACGCCTGATGCTCCCCAGTCTATTGTCGAAGGAATCTATACAAACGGAGGCGCAACGTAAAGCTCAACGTGCAGGCCGCTGGTATCGACGCACAGGTATGCGATGAAGAGTCAAAACAGACATGCGTTAGTATGGTATATGGTCAGTATGGTCCATGAAAGAAAAACATTTCCAGTTCACCAACAATTCGCTTTCTTGCAATTTGTGCCTGGGGCCGTGTACGGCAGCAAATGGTCTGGATAAACAGCCTGAGCCCGGTCTGGAAGGAGTTACGAGAGGACTTACCGACCGAGTTCGCAGCGGGCGCAATCGGCTTACACCACATACAAGTGGCGACACGATACAAATCGACTGTTGAGCACCGCCTTGACGAAAGTCGCTATCTACCCGCTCCAGATCCGGGCTACCAATCCCTGGCCGATTTGGGTCAGTTGGCAGACTGGGCTTCGATGCTAGCCGCGCTGACCACGCTCGGTGTTTACCATTCACCATTCTGTCCCTCTGCACCACATGAACCTCTGGGTGTGCCGGCCACTTGAGTCGTCCGAACATAAATATGTGCAATGCACGTTTTTACCCTACGACGCGACGGACGCAAAGTACGCAACCTGAAGAAGACCCAGTATCACACTTCCCCCACAACACCAAAACATTTTCGCAGAAGCCAGCAACCAGCAAACCAACTTCGTATTACACCATAAGAAAACACAGCTGGCATGCCGCACGCTCGCAGCGACCGGATCAATAACTTATGCCGTGTCTCACCACCCTCCATCTCCTCAGCTCAGCTCAGCTCAGCCCGGCCCAGCTCAGCTCAGCTCAGCTCAGCTCAGCTCAGCTCAGCTCAGCTTATTTCAGCTCCGCTCAGCCCAGCTTCGTCCCCCGCATCGCAGCTCCATCACGCGCCCACTATGTACACCAGCTGGTCGCCGATCGGCAGCGGCCGGCCCTGCCGCGAGCACGTGACGCGGCCCTGCGCCGTATCGATGTGGAACGTGACGTCGTTGGGCAGGGGCTCGCGGCCGGCGGTCGGCTCGCCGAACACGGGCACGCGACGCGGCCCCAGCTCTGGGTCCGTGTAGCGCATCAGGGTCACCCGGGAGCCATCTGCCGGGCACGGGGGGGGGGGAGGGGCATCACTGGGAGGCACGGTCTCGGTCACACACACAGACGGTCGGACACGGTCGGACGGCCACACAAATCAAGCTCCCACACACGGTCACCACAGGCACGGCCCGGTGAACACGATATCTGAGTGCCGTGGTAATGAGTGGGCATGGTCCAATGTCGACCAGCGCCCAATCAGACGGTAGACACCGCTTCAGACCGGCCAGTCCCTTCCGTGACAGCAGTCTACCAGCAGGGAAGACGTGGCTAACGACGGCAGCCGGCGAGCAGGTGGCGGCACAAAGGCGTAGCCCTCTCAGACAGCCGGACACATGGCCGGCCGGCTGGCCCGTCCGTCGGCGGTAGCAGAGACGTCCCGCTCCTTCCCTGACCCCCACCTTTGACGTTGCGCTCGAGCTTGGCGATGCGGGCGGCCAGGCGGCGCGTGGTGTCGCCTTCCAGCACGGGCAGCTGGAGGCCGAACAGGCCGTTGCCCTGCTGCGGGTTGGAGACGGCCAGCCGGACGGAGGGCGCCGTGCGGTACACGACGTACGGCACGCCGGGGCAGCACTCCTCGCGCACGCGCTCGTCAGGAGACGACGTCGAGAAGCACAGCTCCAGACCCTCCAGCTGCGGAGACAAGGCCGCCACGCTGTGTACACCAGCCGTACACTGTACCGGTCAGGCCTCGAAATAATTTGTTCTCTAAAAACTGTTTTCATTTGTATCGAACAATGCGATTATGATAACGAAATTTATGTTGTGCAAGTACAGCTTACCTCGATGCGGCACGCTTCTCACGTTTACAAAAGAAAACTGGGACACCTCTCCATTAAGGCTTAATGGCGAGTTGTGTCAAACACGGCCAGATGCCAACTTTTTATAATTTGTGTGTCAGGCGCTTGGATAATGCTTGCCAGTGGCTTTGGATTTATCTTGCTGTGATGGGGAGTGGGAGCAGTATATGCGTACTGCTGGGGGAGAACATGATTTGCAATAAAATGTGATCTATTGATCTCTGCCTCTATCTTCATGTTTACATTTGAGCTTTACAAGTTGAGGTGATGCCCACAAATCGTAAAAAACACGCGTTTCCTTTGCTATAGGGGTATAGGAATGCAATGCAAGGTGATGGTCTACTTTGGTACCTTACGCTGCAATGAAAATTGTTGAAAATTGAAAATTGTTGCATCAAGGTCATCCTGACGGATCAGCCAGTATTTGCTTTTACGAGGTGGAGGTTTTGCGTACTGTTTGATTTCTCACAGGGAACACTATTAGCTTTTAGTTTGGGATTCATATCACATGAAGTATAGCTTTTCATCTTACAACGGGATTTTTCTGTGACACCGTCCAAACCAAGCACATTGCCTTCATATTTTAGCTGTTGATCACGTACCTTTACATTGATTCATCATCACTGTGTTGTGAGCATGTAGCCAAAGCTCTGAAACTGAAGACGCAAACATGCCGTGGTCGAAAAAACGGCAGGGATGGGTAGCGCTTTACTTGACTAAAATTTGTCCTCTCTTTACAACTAAGTCGCAGTACCGCACCAACAAACGTCTTCGTGGAGGCTTAGAATACTCAAATGTCCTCGTTGTCTGTCTTTTTACTCAAATGTCGTTGTTCGCTTTTTTCGTGACGCATTTTCCGTGCCGTGCTTTTTCCCCCGACGGTCTATAACATCGGGTGACGTTAATTTGACGAAAAAAGCGGCTGCCGTTCGTGAGCACCTTCCGCACACCTACGGCAAACCCATACCTCCAGGGTGTCGATTAGGTACGTCAGGTTCGCCTGCAGCACCTCCTGCTCGTCGAAGTCCAAAGTGAGATTGAGCGCATGAAGGCCGACGGCGTCCACCTGCGGCAGGCGTGCCGGTCCGTCAGCTCGGGCGTGGACGAGCGACGCGCCAGTCTGTCACCACATCTGGGCGGAGAGCACAGGCCCGCTCCTCGTCTGGGTCGACCACACTGGCTGTGTACTCGTGTGGACGGGCATGGTGACATGCCGACCCCGAAGGAGTTCACTTCTATTGCCAATTCACTCTGAAACTCGGAATCCTGGTGCAGCACCATAAGTGCAGTGTAATGAATACCCGTGCATGTAAATTGCATAATTCCAGAGGGTAACAAATGAGTCGCTCGCAAGCACTGACCGGTCGTAAAATATGCCAAACGTAGCGGATTACTTTTTGACTCATGACATGCATTTCCTCTTGACGAAATTTTATTTTTATGTTGTTTAATTCGGTGCAGTTTTGATCTTACACTGGCCGAATGGGAGGTTGGCACTGAGCAAATTACATTGATAATTCCAGCAGGGTGTCAGTTTGGCCTTAGTCTCACAGCAAAACACAAAAAGCATAAGTCGCACCACGCTGGTGTTACCGACTACAGGCGGAAATTATTTGTAGTTACTTTTTTTAATTATCCGTGTTTTAATGTTTTTTTCCAGGGGGAGGACAGGAATCCATCCTCGTCGTCTTTAGCTGTCCTAAGGAAAACAAAAAGCTCTATGTTCCTTTTTCTCCAGGCCAACCCTTCTATAAACCCGAGGGCAATTCGCGGAATAATGGTTTTGACCGGCAGCGCCCACCTTTTCCATGACGCTTTGTACGAACGGCATAACCTTCTTCATGTGCTTCTTCAGTTCGGGCTTCTTCGACATCATCGCAGCGATCGTCTTCTTTTCGGGAAAGCCGTTGTTTTCCTGAAACACACAGCCGATCACACCCGTCCCCAATCCCGACAGTGTCACGCCCTGCCCGCAGCGTGTCCCGCCCGAGCGGGGCGCCCGGGTCACACAGCGAGCCGACAGACCCGGCCCCCATCCCGACAGTGTCACGCCCTGCCCGCAGCGTGTTCCGCCCGAGCGGGGCGCCCGGGTCACACAGCGAGCCGACAGACCCGGCCCCAATCCCGACGGTGTCACGCCCTGCCCGCAGCGTGTCCCGCCCGAGCGGGGCGCCCGGGTCACACAGCGAGCCGACAGACCCGGCCCCAATCCCGACAGTGTCACGCCCTGCCCGCAGCGTGCCCCGCCCGAGCGGGGCGCCCGGGTCGCACAGCGAGCCGATAGACCCAGCCCCAATCCTGACAGTGTCACGCCCTGCCCGCAGCGTGTCCCGCCCGAGCGGGGCGCCCGGGTCACACAGCGAGCCGACAGATCCCGCCGCCCGGCTGCTGGCGCCAGCGGCGGCCACTGACGCTGCTGACCCACCTGGTGCAGTTGGCGTAGGCTGGTGAGCACGCACGACTGCCAAGGCGGGTAGGTGCGCGCCAACCACACCGTGCCGTGCGTCGGACTCTCCACCGGCTTCGGCGCCTCGCCCTTACGCGGCTTGCCTGCGCGCGCACGGGGGAGGCGGTCACGGGCGGCGCCGCTGGCGGGCGACACCACGCCACCGAGCACGAGCACATCAATGCGGCAGAAAGCGACGGAACCGCTCTGCAAGCAATGGCGGCGAGCAAACCACGCATTTCCAGTGTGGGGCTCCTAGTGTAGCAGATAATTTAATCATCATACCCTTTACTGCGCCATGCCTCCTGATGGCGAGACGGGGAAAGACGTGTACGCCTAGTTTCGGACGTAGCAAGTTTACATCTCCACTGCGTTCTGCATTGCGTAATGATGAGTTATTTAATCCAGACGCCTGCGAGTATGCCCACCTGGCGTCATGTAGTTCTTGTACTTGATGCGGAAGTCGTGGACGGCATTGGTGAGGTAGTCGGCCGCCTGCAGCAGCACCGGGTCCACGGGGCCGGCTGTAGGCCAGCGTGCCGACTGAATGCTGCCTTTCTGCGGGTCACATCGTCACCAGGGCTAAGCACCGACACAGTGAACGTCGGAAATGTCGCGTCCATTTTGGGGACGAGGCTCCTTGGGACTGGTCGTACCACAGTGGCGGAGAAGCATGCTGGCCAGAACTGCCGTCCCGCGACGCTACGTCACTCAGGCCCGGCTGCGGACAAGACACGCGGCGTTGCTGCGGCAGCCTCAGCTCGCAGTCACCGTCGCCAGCTGGCAGCACTGCTGCCGCGACACAGGTGGTCGGTGCCGCGGCGGTTGCCCAACTGAGACTGTCGCCAGCTGGCAGCGCTGCTGCCGCGACGCAGCTGGTCGGTGCCGCAGCGGTTGCCCGACTGAGACTGCCACCAGCTGGCAGCACTGCTGCCGCGACACAATTAGTCGGCGGTTGCGGCTGCCGCGTCACCATTGGTCGGCGGTCGCTGCTGCCGCGTCACCATTGGTCGGCGGTCGCTGCTGTCGCGTCACCATTGGTCGGCGGTTGCTGCTGCCGCGCCACCATTGGTCGGCGGTCGCCCACCTTGCCGATGAGCTGCCAGATCTTCTCGGCCACGTGCGGGCAGATGGGACTGAGTAGCAGCGCCTGCACCTCGATGAAGCGGAACACCAGCTCGCCGTGCATGCCGTGCGTGCTCTGCTCGCGGTATGTGTCCCGCACCTGCGCCGGCCGCGGCCCGTCAGAGGAGCACGCTGAGAGGCCGCACGGCACGGCACGGCACGGCACGGCACCTCGTCGACACCAGTAGCCAATACGATCGCGAACTCGATCACAAACTCACGAGGGGACTACTTGGCTTGCGTGTGATACAGTGGTGAACAGAGATTGAGCAGAGCATACGTGGGAGCTTTCGGGCGGCGACTGGTCGACATCAGCGGAACAATATGCTGTTTTGCGTTCGGCGTACGTGTCCAGACCATGCGCAAACCAAGCGCACTGAAACCACACGCCAAAGTAGCGCTGCCCGTTTATGGTCTCACACGCATGGCTTTATTGTGTCACACGCATGGCTTTACGGTCTCACACGCATGGCTTTATGGTTTCGCACGCATGGCTTTAGACACACCGGTCAAACGTACTTCCAAACGGCAGTCAATCAATGTAAAGTCAGTAAGTTTGTGTGAATCTGACGTCGCTAGAGGCGATGATGTACTGAGTCACATCACATAAAAACATCAATGAAAGTAACATCAACTCGTTTTCACAAACAAAGCACGTTATAATAATGCAACGAGTCACCACGTTGCCTTCCTCAAAAGCTTCCTTACCAGTTGCAGTTCAAAGAAGCCGGTTTTCAGCGCCTCCTTAAAGAGAGCACGTTCGTAGTGGCGCCCCGTCTGTACGATTTGGTGGTTCATGGCGCTAAACGGAACGCAGGTATCTCGTCAAGGTGTAGAACAATGCAACGTACGTGGCTGGAAACTGCGATGATAGAAACGTGCTCACAATACGACATCCCAGCAATCGTTCAGCCGAAGTTCTTACGACTCTGGAAGCTGGCAACAAGACGACAAATGATTGACCGCGCCCTTTCGCGTGATAAATACAATTACAACATGAAAAAACAACATGGAAAGACAATTAACATGGGATGCAACTGTACCTCGGACTTAAAGTCCAACTGTTCTTGTTTGTCATGCCCGAAAACATATTGAAAATGCAAGGCAGTAGTAAATCATGACGAGCTAAATCGGTTAAACGCATTGCTAATAGCAGCACAACGAACTAGCCACAAGAATCACCGGATTTCTAACGCGGAGATGGAGAGCGGCTGGGGTATGACGTCTGGTGAGGACAAGCCATTGGCGCACGGCTAGGGTATGACGTCTGGTGAGGACAAGCCATTGGTGCACGGCTAGGGTATGACGTCTGGTGAGGACAAGCCATTGGCGCACGGCTACGGCATGACGTCTGGTGATGACAAGCCATTGGCGCACGGCTAGGGTATGACGTCTGGTGTGGACAAGCCATAGGCGCACGGCTAGGGTATGACGTCTGGTGTGGACAGGCACACTGCTCACTTGATGAAGACCTTGTCGTTGAACGTGTCTGACGGCCCGGAGCGCAGCGCCGCCCTGTTTGCCACCATCTCCTTCACCCACTCCAGCAGCGTGTACAGACGCAGGATACCTGTGGACACACCCGCAGCGTCCTGTCACCGCTCATCATCAGTGCCGACACGTGCCAGCCTTCGTCCGGTGCAGCAGCGCGGTCACACAGCCGCCAGGTGACGTCACATGCCTGCCGGGGGACACCACGAGCACGCTGTAAGCCGCAGGCGCGATGCCAAAGTGGCGTCACACACCCACTGTCACGCCCCAGAAAACACTGACACACACGCATACACACGCACACGCACGCGCATACGTACACGTACACGTACACGCACACGCAACGCGCACGCACACACGAACACACGCACACCCGCTGATAGCTGTTGTCCCGCACGCATACGTCAGCGAAAATTCAGTACGTATTCAGTGATGCGCGGACAGCTCGCCGCGCCCTGCCGGGGCTGCAGCCAGCAGCCGGCCGTCTGGCGGAGACCCTTAATCGAGACCGACCCCTGAACCCGGACCTGCCGACGGGGACGGTCAGCGGCCGTCCGTCTTCGCCGGTAGAGTTACCTGCGTCGGCCATGGCCTCGACGAAGTTGGCGTCCTCGACCGAGTCTCCGGCGTCAGCCAGCGAGAGACGCATGCCGTCCGCCGAGAACTTGTCCACGGCCTCCTGCAGCGTCAGGAAGTTGCCCGTGGACTTGGACATCTGCCGGGGGAGCGGGAGGGGTCTGTCAGTGCCAGAGCAGCCCACCCCGTACCGCCGCGTCACCCGAACAGGGAGTTACATTCCGCCAGGCGCTGGCCGAGGCAAGGTGCTTTTCTTTGGCACAAGATGTCCTGATTTGCGCATGTTATGGCGGCTTGTAGCTTGTGCGTTTATACGCTGATATATTGTCAGTAAACGATGGTCGGGTTACCTTCTCGCTCACTTCGGATGCACTGGAAGAAAGCGCTGACTGAATACGCAGAAGTCATTGGCGTATCACAATGAAAGTCTGTGGAGATTGCCTGGTTTCGTCTCTCTTCGGAGCGAGATTCCAGAGGCTGCACAAAACACAAAACTGGCCCAGCCTTCTGCGGCAGAAGTGGCAGCTGTCCGCCCGACCATAGCCAGCACCCGCGCACCGTCCCACTCCGACAGACGCGCACCTTCTCCGAGTTCAGCAGCAGGTGACCGTTGGCGCGGATGGCCTGCGGCCACATGTTCGGCTGGTCCGCCCAGAGCGCCGTGTGGTTGTACATGTAGTAGGTGAGGTGGTTGGGCACCAGGTCCTTCCCTGCCAGCAGGGTGGGCGCAATTGCCAAGACGGCTCCGCAAGCAGGCCTGACTCACACCAGTGACAATGCCGTCAACGCCGACCTACCAGTCTGATTTCCCCGTACACCGAAGCCAAACAGCGACCCATCGAGCTTCCAGGGCCTTGGCCGCCCATGTCAGCCGCAATACGCAATGAATGTCGGATCACCGTAAACGGCGGTCACACCACGCCACGCAAACCGCATCCACTCGTCGCCCCAATAACACATTCGACAGAAAGCATCGACCTTCCCAGGCGCATCGCCTACAGCACGATCTCCTCGGATGAATGCACTTTTGTTCGGCCCACACGAACGGCGCGCTACACAGAAGTCCAGCAGCATGGCGGTCAGGCCACCGGCAGTCACGCCCGCTGGTCTCTCGCCCCGTGAGTGATGGCGCCGGCAGCAGGCCGCTGCAAGATCTTAGACAAGAGGACCACACAGCAGGATGTCAGATCACTTCCAGGCGCTCGGACTCCCGTCGCCAAGCCCGTCTGCCTTCGCCTCGGCGGCGGCGGTCACCTGAGACGCGCAGGTCCACCGGGTACCAGTACTGGAACTCGCGGCGCATCCTGTCCAGTAGGGGGCGCGCCACGTCCGTCTGGGGCGGCCGCTCAGTCCGGCAGAACACGTAGTCCCACACGGCCGGCGTCAGCTGCTCCGGTCTGCAACCACCAGCGCCGCACGCTCAGTTGGCGGGGCGTCCCAGCTGCACCAACGGATGCCGTACGGTTCGCAGTCCAGCACGCGGACTGTGTGCTGGACTGGACTGTGACGCGGACACAGTCCAGCCTCAGCCGCGCCGGACGTCCAGACGGCGCCGGCACATGGCTCCAGTGAACACAGCCGCATCTGACACGGCGGGACATGGTGTCCACGCCGCCGTGAGACCGGCCGGCGCAGCAGGAGTCAGGAGTCAGGAGTCAGGAGTCAGGAGTCAGTCATGACCGTCCACAAATCCCGAGGAATCCAAAAACCAGGCGCAGTCGTCAGCTCATGCCACGTGCTAGGGGCAACGCAACACCAACAGAGTTGGGAGCCCACACACACACACACCTGACGCTCCAGCTCACCTGACCAGCTTTTTCCGCAAATTGCGGGAATTCCGGGAATTCCGGGGTTTCCTTGCGAGGCATAAAAAAAACATTGCAAAATTTGTCAGCGCAGCCGAATCCGCCAAGCAAAAGCAGCGTTAACTGTACTGCAACGTGCTTGCGTGTGTCGTGTGTCCAGCGGCAGCAGATGGCGGTACTCGGATGTCCGATAACGCGTGGACAACATCTGATGCGTCACACAATGGAAGCGTCTGCCACCATCCTAAGGGCAGCGACAGGCACATAGACGCATCAAAAGCTGCTAATACGTCGCGATGGGCAGCGCGCGGCTTGGCCAACACACGGGCAGCGCCAGAGCAGTGGCATCCAAAGGCAGCGACAGGCGGCGACTGACGGAGAGTTCAGATCATGGACAATGGATCGCGTCCAGGGCCTTGCCTTGTGTTATGTTAAGCACTTTCATCGCACAATATCGTGATAATATTTTGTTCATTCCACCTTTGTTTTCTTTCCTTTTACTTGATTAATCAATATGATCATGCATTGGACACCCAGGCAAGGCCGAAATTGTGTCCAGGATAGGCTTGGCAGTCAGTCACGGGCCGCTGAGACGAGCGCCCCCCCCCCCCCCCCCTCACCACCCCCCACTCCCGCAATGTAGCCAGGACCAATGAACGTTTCAAATGTAGAGCGGGGTATGAGGTGAAGAGGGGGGACACGTCTGGCCCGGCAGTGGCTGGACGCAGGGAGGGGCTGCGGTCTCACCGGACGGCGGCGCCGGAGGCCGCACCAGTAAACGAGCCGTTCTGCAGCATGTGTGCCACCGTGTAGTAGGCCATGTAGATGGTGGAGTCGGAGAGCGACTCGATCAACCAGCGCTCGTCCCAGGGCAGACGCGTGCCTGTCGCAGATGCCGTAGGGTCTAATCAGCCTGCAACTCACCGTCCCTCTCGAGAGTGGACAAAAATTCAACGTTGGGATTGAAATATCTCCCTCCCATCCGCCCGCCCGCCTCTCCCTCTCCTTCTCTCTCCCTCTCCCTCTCCTCTCTCCTCCCTCCTCCCCTTCCCCTTCCCCTTCCCTCCCTCCCTGACCGTACTGTACTGACCGAGGCCGTACGTGCGCGAGCATGCGTGCTCGTGCAGCCAGTCGAGCGTGGCGGCGAAGTTACGGCGCGTCTCGTCGTGGTAGGTTTCCAGCTCGCGCAGACAGGCAGCCGTCTTCTCCCGCCAGGTCGGCTCGCCATAGTCCAGGTACCTGGCGGCGGTGGCGCCACGGACTGATCGACGCCCCCGCCACCGCCGACAGGCACCCATCAACACAAGCCATGTTTGCCATTCACAACACTGGGAAGTTTGCTATGCTCTGCTTTGACGTCAGATCTTGTCACAGAGCACCACCCCACATCACCCACCACTAGTCGCAGAGCACCACCCCACACCACTCACCACGGGTCACAGAGCACCACCCCACACCACTCACCACAGGTCACAGAGCGCCACCCCACACCACTCACCACTAGTCGCAGAGTGCCACCCCACACCACTCATCAGTGGTCACAGAGTGCCACCCTACATCACTCACCACTGGTCGCAGAGCGCCACCCCACACCACTCACCACTGGTCACAGAGTGCCATCCCACATCACTCACCAGTGGTTGCAGAGCACCACCCCACATCACTCACCACTGGTCACAGAGTGCCACCCCACATCACTCACCACTGGTCGCAGAGTGCCACCCCACATCACTCACCACTGGTCACAGAGTGCCACCCCACACCACTCACCACTGGTCGCAGAGCGCCACCCCACATCACTCACCACTGGTCACAGAGTGCCACCCCACACCACTCACCACTGGTCGCAGAGCGCCACCCCACATCACTCACCACTGGTCACAGAGTGCCACCCCACATCACTCACCACTGGTCACAGAGTGCCACCCCACATCACTCACCACTGGTCACAGAGTGCCACCCCACACCACTCACCACTGGTCGCAGAGCGCCACCCCACACCACTCACCACTGGTCACAGAGCGCCACCACGCACTCGTCGCCGGAGCGGGAGATGATCTGTTTCTCCGGCTCCTGGTACATGACCGCCTCACCCGTCGACACCAGCTGCTTCTGAATCGGCTTCTTGACGTCCTGCACCTTCTTGCCTTTGTGGGTCGGCACCAGCATCACCTGGGCGTACAGCGGCATAGTGTTCATATGTAGCACATACTCAACGAGTCCTCACCTATTGAGTACGATCAATATAATCGGTGTTTACCACTACAAAGTGGTTTTATCAGTATATTTCCAGCACATTAGATGCCATTAGGTACACATAAGAACTTTGAACTTATGATAAATGTTTGTTTCACTCCATGATGTTAATAACAGGTGACTACCTGAAGCACCACTCTTTGAGAACACAGTAGTTTCGCCATGCTCAGGAAAATAAGAAAAAGGTCTCAGACACTTAACAGCGACATCTGGCGCCTCAACATACCACTGTGTCGCTCATGACTAAACACCAGTGAGCTCCATACAGACAATTTACCTACGCACCCCTTCGTAGAATCCCTTGAGGTAGACCTGCTCCTTGGCCTCAGCCAGCTTCTCCTTGTCATTCTGGCTTTGGACCTTGAGGCTGTCGCAGGCAGTGACGGCGCTCAGGCTGCCCAGGCCTGGCACCTCGATGATGGGCACCGGCTCGAACGGCAGCACCATCTGGTCGGCGATGCCGTACTTCTCCCGCAGCGGCTGTTTCTTCTTGAGATCGCGCAATGCAGCGTAGTCGTCGGGCGCGTCCGACGGCACAGACGTCACCACGCCGGTGCCTGCCCGGGCGGGAGAGGGGCGGGTCAGGCGCCGCGTCACCGCGGTAGTACCTCGGCAATGCTTCGGTGTCGGGGCCGCCACAGCCGAGGTCACTGTGCATGTGCCGGGGGAAGGGGGGGGGGGGTGTCAGGTCACTGTGCAGCGAAACTAGTAGTAGCATCGTCATTCGTTGATAAAAATCGTGAACACAAGGAACATGACAGAAAACGCACCTGCACTCAGTGACAAAGGAACAGCATTGCTAGGTTAGAGCAGGCAGCTGCTGCCCTGATAAGTCGCTGCGTGCCATGGCGACCTGCTGAGGCTCTCCTGCGCACCCTTGTCCTCTTTGATTGTCAGCATGGGCAGGGTGTAGATGGTGTCGTAAGAGGTGAGCGGCGCCTTCAGCGGCTGGCCCATGATGTCGATGCCGGTGATCTCGCAAACCACCTTCATCTCGCCCTCCGCCGCCGTCATGCCCTGGTAGGACATGTTCCGCGCCGCCCGCCGCGTGCACACGAACACCTGGAGACAGGCCGTACGGTGTCAGGGTGGAGTGAAGTCTAAAAACAGCGTCTTCGCAAGCGCACTACTTCTGCAGCGTCTAAGCATACGGGTACTGTCATACTTCCGCCCACATCGCCAGGACTCGCCCGGGGCAATCGTGGACGTGGTTTTGAAACGTGCACAGTATTACTAAAATCTTACCTAAAAAACTGATACAAAGGACAGGCGAAAACTATTACCGTTGTGGATTATTTTAAGCGCCACCACGACCAACAAGACCCAAGGCTGGACACAGCACAGTTTGGAGTGCCTACTCATCGCGACTTCTTTTTGTTGTGTATTGATGTTTTGGGGTGGCACCGCGACACCCTGCCACACATAGGCGGCAAAACCCGCACATGCAAACCATGCACGCGACAACAGCTCACCTCTGCAGAGTTGGTGTCGAAGGCTAACCCACCTTTGCAATTAGTGTTGAAGGCTAACTTATCTCTGCAGAGTTGGTCTCGAAGGCTAGCTCTCCTCTGTAGAGTTGGTCTTGAAGGCTAGCTCACCTCTGCAGAGTTGGTCCCGAAGGCTAACTCACCTCTGCAGAGTTGGTCCCGAAGGCTAACTCACCTCTGCAGAGTTGCTGCCGAAGGCTAACTGACCTCTCCAGAGTTGGTCTCGAAGGCTATGTACTTCATGTCCGGGTGGACCCAGCAGTTGGTCTGGCCATACATGGTCTCGGGCCTCAGCGTGGCCGCCACCAGAAACACGGGTCGCGAGCCCGCAGCGCTGCCGACGCGGCACAACATGTCACTGCCACAGGTCGCCGACAGGCAGAAACCAAGTGCCCACGTGCGTAGGAAGTCCCGCAGCTGACACGCAGACCAGCAGCTATGTCCACAAAGATGGGAGAGCTGAGAGGCAACAGCTCCCGGCGGGCTTTGGACCAGATCCAGGGCGCCCATCACGGTAACAAGGAGCGACCAAACATGCCAGACTAAGTGCGGCCAAAACCCAACATCAAAATGATTGTTGCATGGGTGCCTCTTATTCCGCAGTGCGCAAAAAAGACACATAATTCCGAAGCAGCTTTCGCAGCATCGCTGATCACAGAAAAACAAGCCAACGGCCCTCGTTGACGCCATCAACAGGCCCACCTTAGCTTGGGCGGCAGAGTTTTGAGGCGCATCTTGATGAGGGTGTACTCCTGCGGACCGACGCCCTCGCCCGAGCTGCGGTCGTGGTCCATGCAGGGCTGGCCATCCCGCGGCGAGAAGATAGTGTACCGCTTGCCGAATTCGACCTTGCCGAGCTCACGCAGACGCAGAAATTGCCAGCGCACAAACGAGTCGTAGTAAGGGTTGACGTCGGTGGTGATGAAGCTGCGGCGCCAGTCCACCTGCGCGGTACGGCACGTCAGACGCGGCCATGCGAGCCGCCAGAAACAGCGCCGCCAGTGGGCCATTAACCCACCCCGAGCACAGGACGCGCCAGGGCGTGCAGGCGGCACAGTGGGCCGTTAACCCACCCCGAGTACCGCACGCGCCAGGGCGTGCAGGCGGCACAGTGGGCCGTTAACTCACCCCGAGCACCGGACGCGCCAGGGCGTGCAGGCGGCACAGTGGGCCGTTAACTCACCCCGAGCACCGGACGCGCCAGGGCGTGCAGGCGGCACAGTGGGCCGTGAACCCACCCCAAGCACCGGACGCGCCAGGGCATGCCAGCGGCACAGTGGGCCGTTAACTCATCCCGAGCACCGGACGCGCCAGGGCATGCCAGCGGCAGTTGTACAGCTAGCCTTTCTTGAATTTTTCCAACGCCCCAATCGTTACAGGTGCTGCCGAGTCCGCGGTGAAGCACAGCCCGACGGCGGGCCTCAAACCCGTCCGGAGCCCGGTACGCATCAGGTCGCGCCGCCTGAGCAGCGGGAAACGGGGCAGCCAGTGCGCCCCAAGCTCACCCGGAGTCCCAATCGCGCCAGGTCCTGCTGCGCCAGCGGCGGGAAGTAGCGCAGCCAGTGATCGGCGTCGGCAAACTTTTTGATCTCGTCATCGGGGAGGCCCAGACTCTGCATGATATTCCACTGGTACCGCAGACCGCCAGTCTTGGCCGCAGCTTTGCTCTGAAACCGCGCGCACGCACTGCAAATGACGTGCCACCCTTCACTGCGACGGCGCACGCACTGCAAATGACGTGTCACCCTTCACTGCGACGGCGCACGCACTGCAAATGACGTGCCACCCTTCACTGCGATGACGCACGCACTGCAAATGACGTGCCACCCTTCACTGCGACGGCGCACGCACTGCAAATGATGTGCCACCCTTCCTTTGCGACGGACATGCGAGAAAGTTCAGTAAAGATCATCCCCGAACCCCCACATTTAATCGGTACAGAAACTGGCACACAACAAAAATTAGCTTCATCACCCATCACACATTAAATAAGGATGTAAGCGTGTCTAGTGAGCGTCAAGGTAACTTCACCAGCCCACAAATAAAAGTGCAAACGCTTCTCGTGAACAATAAGACAGCTATTATTGGCTTCATAATTTAACCCATTTGTTAAGATACAGCCTATTATCAGTTGTAAAATTATATTTCTTTCATTTATCTAACCTTTTTGCCCTTGGCCTTATCCTTGATGATGGGCTCGCTGGCGGCCTGCTCTTGTTTGGCGGGCTCCTCTTCGGCGGGGAAGCTGGGCGGGAAGCCGTACGTCTCGATCTCGCGGCGCAGTTTGTCTGCACACGCCTTGATCGGCATTCCCGTGCAGTGGAACGCAAACGGAAAGAGGCAGCGCTTGCCCTGCAGGCGCTGGTAGCCCACGGCGAACTGCCAGCACACGGTGCACGACCGAAGCGTCAGGCAAGCCGCTACCGAACATGAGCCGCGCTTTGGAATATGTGGCGCACCCACAGTACACTGTGCAAAGCATGCAATGCCACCAATGTTTTAGCAACAGTCTGAAGCGCCGCAAGCTTTTCCATGGCATTTAAAGAGATGAGTAGAGCAGCGACAGTAGAGGCCCTTTGGTCACGTGACGTTGGCCTACCATCGGTGGTGTTTGATTACCCCCCCCCCCCCCCCCCGAAAACAGGCGCATTGACCGCGGCCGAGCCCACAGGCGTCACACATCGCTCAGCCAAGTCATACCTCGCATTTTGTCAGGCTGAAAGTATGACCCAGATGAAGTCTTCCATTCATGTAAGGATATGGAAACGTCACAAAATACTTCTCATCACCAGACTTGGATGGTTGTGGGGCATCCACCTCAAACACCCTGTCGCGGGCCCATGTCTCTTGCATGTCACGCTCAATCTCCTTCAAATAATCGACCTTGAAGGTCCCCTTTCTCTCTACCTTGCTGTCACCCATGGTTTAGCCTTGAGGTGCTGAAAATCAGGAAGCAAGATGAAACAAAACTATGCACTTCACTGCATCCAGTGAAAAATGTTAATTGAGTGGTAAGATAAGATGCCAGTGAGGTCCACAGTCAGCAAATAATGAGTATATCACCAGTGAAATCCCGATAGGCTGATATACAATATGCTTCGCAGTTTTGCAGACTACCTGAATGCACACTGACATTTTAGAAAGATGTTTTATTTGAACGCAATGATTTAATCAATGACGATGTTTGGATGCTTCATAACCAGCCACACCAGCAAAACACCAGAACTGCGGCACAGCTTTTGCCATGATATTGTACTGGCATGAACCAATCCACACTGCACAAATAAAGGCTGAGCTGCCCTATAAGGGTTGCCACTGAACAAGCTGATTTCCTGCAAAACAAACTGTGTCCTTTTGAAAGACCACTGAACTGCTCTGTGCCGCGCGGAATGAACAGAGCGATAACAGATGAGAAAGGTGTAACCTGCCATTTGTATGGGGCTGAAAGCTAAGCTGCAACAGCTGGACACCTTCAGCACTTGACTCATGCAAATACCTGCCACCATTGTGTTTGAAAGTCTAATATCACGAAAATTTGATGGGGAGAGGTCCACTGCTAGAGCATTTGTGTGATGAGGTACAAATAATTGTCTTTAAGAAAAAGGCTGCTCATAGTCCAGTCGGGAGAGCAGTGACGAATTGGCAAAGATCAACAGTTTATTGCAATCGTGACCAAGGAATCACAAAGAACACAAGTGTTTTAGGCAGATTATGGTCACAATACACGAGGCTACATTTCTGTGCACTCTCATGGTGAAATCCTTCTCAGTTCAGGGCAAAGCATCGCATATTTCGTACCGGTTTCGGAAAAGGTAGCAGTGGGCAAGACCCAGTTGATCACTGGCGACGCCATGGGCCGGACAGTGTTGGGATCTGCTAGCGAGTTGTTACTGGTACCTTTGCCAATACTGTGCAGTTGGTTTCATGTCTTTGTCTACTGTGACTGCTGATATTTGAAAGCAATTTATTAAAACCCAAAACTGATATATTAGTGCTTTACACACAACAGCATATGGCAGATTGCACACAGTGATCTACTGAGAATGTACACAGAGCTACATGCCCTGGGTACAAACTATGTCTGAAAGCATCAACTGACCTAAAACTCATGGATGTAAAGTTCTCAAAATGATTTAAAGTGCCAAAGTTGTGGATATCATCAACATTTATTACATGTTTTTAAAGCTAAGATTAGGTTACACAGATCAACCACATACCAAAGCCACACTTTGCATCAGCTTTTTAATAAGCATGACGCTTTGTGGCACAAAGTTTCGGAAAAAAAATCAGTTTCCAAGGTGTTTGCAGTATGGTTAACATCCTTGAGAATTGTGATGCTGCCATGTGCAGTCTGTGCAAGCTGCTGATCACCTTACACTGATTTTGAGCCATCTGTCTCTTGACTGGGGCACTCTGACACAAGAAATGTGGTGACAAATTCCAAGTGTGTCACGACCATTCAGTGCTCACTACAGCCGAGTAGTTTGGCAAAACAGATTTGGGTGCTGGGCAGGGAAAATGGCTAAACCTGCACATAAATAGCAAAAAAAAAAATTGTATTGGACTTGACTATATTGCTCTTAATGTAAGGAAGCTGGAGTTGTTTCCAACCAAATAAAAAGCTTCTCCTCAGCTCCAAGAGTTTTTTCTCTGATGTTGACATGTTGGTTGCATCAGATTGAACAATCCCTGGAAACTGTCTTTGCTGATAGCCAAGGCCTGACTGTGACCTGCCATAGGTCAGTGACTCTACAAAGTACATCCAATGTTCACACCAAAAGATCCCTTATTCTGCTGCCTCCAGCTATCCAGAGTTTGGCATAACTTTGGCATGCCATGTCATCTGCAACGTACACACCTCTGAGAGGTCCGACCGACCTGCCCACCAGAGTTTGGCATAACTTTGGCATGCCATGTCATCTGCAACGTACACACCTCTGAGAGGTCCGACCGACCTGCCCACCCCACTTAGTGGGTGGCAATTTTGTGATAACAGATAATGGCACAACTTCACAATGGATGCAGTTTGTTGCAGACTAAAGGACTTTGATCATTGCTGAAAAATAGCAAAACATGCAGGCAATCACCCAAAACTAGACCCAGACCAATGAAACATGAATTGTGTCCTTAAAGCATGCAGAATGTGGTAAAAATAGAAAATGCTTCACCAAATATGGTACAATCATAGAATTCTAAAAGTTGGATGAACTCTGCCAGCTCCACTCAATTAAATCCTACCATTCACACTTTCTTTGTTCCCTCTACCTGTAAAACATTTATAAGAAACCTTTAGATTCATATAATTTAGGGCCTTCACTTGCAACAGTTTGCTTGTGTTTAAGCCACAGAAGGTTCATGCCCAAATTGGAATTTGGGGGCTAATTGCCCACCCAAAAGAGTATAAATAGATACCTGTGCTAAAACAGATTTCAGAGGCACCAATTCTACTCACATATAATATAATACCCACATGCAAGTGCAGAGAAATGCTGGCCCTGCATAATGGACCTCAGCATCAGTGAAAATTACGGCCAATGGTTTAACAAGGTGCACATGGGTGGGCAAAATGTGCATGTTCAGAGATGCTTTAAATATAACTTTTCCTGCTGAAAGCAGGTCAGGGTGTACTTTCCTACCTAACATTAGAAAAAATCATTGTACACCATCCGTGGTGTTTACGGCAGGACATATCGTAAATAATCTCAAAACAGGTAGAATCATGCTCCTACCTTCGAATTTCAATAACTTCGATGGCGGGCTCCCGAGCGCCGCGCGCACCGCACCGCCTGGACTCCCTAACGCCGTTTCTGCGTTGCCGTTGCGTAAATACAATATTTCTGCTTACCAAGAACTCTACAAAATGTATGGGACCAAAAGTAAACCATTCGTCGTGTTTAAGGCAGGACATATCGTAAATAATCACAAAACAGGTAGATTCATAATCTTACCTTCAATTTTTTTATAATTACGATGGCGAACTCCCGAGCGCCGCACACACACAGCACCCGCAACACCGGCGCCATTACTGCGCGGGTCACAACATTACTGTGCGGTTCTGGTCTATTCTCAGGTTAGGTTAGGTTAGGTTAGGTTAGGTTAGGTTAGGTTAGGGTTAGGTTAGGTTAGGTTAGGTTTGGTTAGGTTAGGCTAGTTTAGGATATGTTCTGGACCATTCTGGCCTGTGTGTCTCATAAACATACCTAAACTCGATAAGAAACGATTTTGGTTGCTTTATTATTGTTACCTTGGTCCCGTACATGTTTTATGGTTCTTGATAAGCAGAAATATTGTGCTTTCGCAACAACGCAGAAACGGCGCTTGGGAGTCGAGGCTGTGCGGTGCGGTGCGTGCGGTGCTCGGGATCTCGCTATCGTATTTATTAAAATTCGAGGGTACGAGCATGATTCTATCTGTTTTGAAATTATTTACGATATGTTCCGCCTTAAACACGATGAATGGTTTACCTTGGTCCCATACATTTTGTAGAGTTCTTGGTAAGCAGAAATATTGTATTTATGCAACGGCAATGCAGAAACGGCGCTGGGGAGTCCAGGCGGTGCGGTGTGCGCGGCGCTCGGGAGCCCGCCATCGAAGTTATTGAAATTCGAAGGTAGGAGCATGATTCTACCTGCTTTGAGATTATTTACAATTTGTGCCGCCTTAAACACGAGGAATGATGTGCAATTATATTTTCTAACGTTAGGTAGGAAAGTACACCTACACCTGAAAGCATGTCAAATGCAGGCCATCACCAAGGACAATAATGCCAGGTTATCTTATGACCAGCCTGATGGGGGGCAAGGCGCAGGAACTGGCACCTCATTCTGCCAAGACATCCCTGAAGTCTGATATCACTATGGCAATATGGCTGGATACAAGCTCATCTTCCCACTGATATTTGAACATCTCCCACCACATGTTTTAATAAGCACTTAAGTTGCAAAAGGTACTGTAACCAGCTTTTCTAAAGGACACTGTTCTTGTAGACTGTATGCCTCCAAAAAACAAAACAAGCTTGGTACAAGTCAACTTTAAAGCATATTTATTGCCAAGGCAGGAGCTTGGGCACCATGTTGATACCACTAGTCACATTTTGTTGTGCTTTTCATCCATCTGTTCTCCTTAAACCAGCTCTATGATGACTTAAACAGTACCTACCAAGATCATAATACCAGTAAGCATACATGTAGTGACTGGATACTATCTAGGTGGTGACCACTCAGGGTCATTCCAGGGAAATTACCTAGCACTTGAAATTAAGGAAAATTCAGGCACATTGCCTACCATGATTGTCCCTTATGGTACAATAAATGGTACTTTATGGTACTTTATGGACATTTTATTTTGGACATCAACAATGTCTGCTAATCATGCACACTGGCCCCCTGGGCCCAGTTCAATTTATAACTGAGAAACATTTGATTAATCATGAGTTATAAGAACACTAAATGCTGGCTACTGACTAACCAGACATATGATCAAATCCACAGATCACAGATGACAGAGCTGTAAATTAAACAACAGCTGTGTGACGCCTGGCAACTTCAAGTCAAAGACCACACACCTCACGCCGATGTCCTTCCCAAGCCCCGGACACTTCACAGCATGAACTGGAAATACCGCGGTCGCACTAGGCCACACCCAAAGCCAACAACAAATTACAACACCCGCGGTATTCTCCCTCCCCTGTTCCGTGGAAATGACGACACAACCCACCAACCTCTCGTCACTTGACCCCAATCACCACTGACACCGGCACCACACGCTTTGTCGCAGTCAGCCACAGCTGCCGTCCAATGGTAGCTACCATATTCTGAGTAATAATCTGGTTGCATTATTTTGGGCAGCAATATTTTACCCCTTCTTTGCAGCCGTTTCCAACTTACGGGGCGCAGGTAGGATTTTAGTAAAGGAGGGAAGGGGGGGGGGGGCAGAGAGCACAGAGTGGGGGGGGGGGGGTGGAGCTAGATGAGACCGCTGCACGACAGATTTTAACCTTCTGTCAGCAGCCATCTATGGTAAAACAGAAAACTGTGGGCTTGACTGTCACCTCCTTGGCTGCGCCCCTGATTCCCTGCCCAACTTTCAGGGCTTCTTCACTAATCCAGACAGCCGTAGACACCGACAGCTGAGGGAGGAGGCGCAAGAGGCACGTGCCCTCCTTAGGTCCCGACAGACCGAAAGACCTTACGGGACTGACAGCCAAGTGCTCGATTAAAAGGTCTGAATAGCCGAATAGCCGAATAGCAAATGGTGTACATGAAAGCGAGCCTGCCGGGAAGGCTTTAAATATCGGTCAAAGGCAGGAGCGCTGAAACTATGTTCAAGTCGCGGGACAAACTCCAAAATGACAAAATACGCCCCTAAGCCTAAGTAGTGGGCCGCCTACAAGCCGAGATGGGCCTTTAAGGTCATAATGGGTCCCCTCCAGTTCAGAATTGAATGTCTCAAACTCGGTGGCGATAGTCGTCTTACAACGGTCAGCTTCCCGGACGGGGAGTTGGCGGTTCGCTTGAACAAGGTCGATGAAAGTAGACGAACAGCACCATTCAGACTCTGCAAGCTGGAGTCAATCCGAGGTGTGGCATGTGTTATGCTCACCCGCGGCGGCGCGAGACTGGCGTGGTCGTTCCGTGGCCGCAATGGGGCGGGCGCGTGGAACTGCAGACGGGCATCGCCCTCCGTGCATGGCGCGGGCTTCGGCCGTAAATGGCACCAAGGTTTAACTGATTCGGAGAATAAGCGCTAGATGGCAGGGGCTGGTTGACGGCCACGTTGGCTCGGGAAGCCGAGGCTGGCCGCCAAGCCAGGAAAAAGCTCCGAATCAGGTGCTCCAAATGCTATAGCGGGGTGGTGCGCATGCACAATGGAAGGGCTCGTGTCATTCTGACGCAAACCCCATGTAAGCCGTGGAGCTCGACCGCTCGAGGCACTCCGTTCCGTGGCCACTCTGGGGTAGGTTCGTGGGGATGGGCCAAAGAGGATGCGGCTGCGCGGCCTTTGAAGGGGTCCTCATTCATGTGTTTGTTAATGACTGCGTGCTGAAATATGTCTTGTCTAAAATGTGCACTGGATCTTAATTCAATGTTCAGGCTACTTCCAAAGCGAGTGACTACGTTTGGAACTCGGGAGTAACGGATTGAGTTTGAGAAGCATTCGAGTTTGAATATGGCTGCTGGTAAAATACAACTATGCAGTGAGCATATTGTTCCCTTCTTGGTGCGCTGTGTCGGGGCTGCTATGCGCTATGTCGGGCTGCTCCGCAAATCCTGACCTGACCGTCGTGAGGTCATTTAGCCAGGACCAGGGGGCTCGTCCACTGGGGCCTGCCCAGTGGCTCGGGCACTCGATCACTCGGCTCGATCAACGGCCCCGATCGGCGTCCAGTGCTCTCCGGCTGGCATTGGAGTACCCGGTCTTGCAGGGCCCGAAGGGCCTCTCGGAACCTGAGGGAGGCGGGCACGTACCCCTGTGCGCCCCCCCCCCCTTGCCAGCGCCCTTCGCGTGCAGCCTGGAAAGTGTCCATAGTGACAGCAGGCCAACCCGGTATCGTTGGGTATTTGTAATATAGGTCTTACATGAAAATGCTTGATCCCAATCAATTGTGTTAATCTAGGGAAATCGATGGCGTCACAAGTTCAGACAAGTAAGACATTTCGCTGGCTTCGATAATACACATTCTTCTCGCAACTTAGGAATTGGGGTATTTAAAGCCTAAAGCGTTTTAGGGCGTAAGGCTTTGTTGCGGTGGAGACCGCACTGGAAGTCTAGTTTTTATTATATTTAAATCAAGTTAGGTCATGTTGAATCACGAGATAAAATGATCCCTTTTACTCATATTGTAATGCACTTCGTGGAAATAATATTTTCTTCCACAGCTTCCGCTGCAATGGCCCAAGGGGATTTAGCCGGAATTAAGACGCAAAAAAATATTGAATTTCATATTGCATTTGCCGCAAACCATCATATCAACGTAATTGTTGTATTGCCTGTGCAGCGGCAGGATGGTCCGCGAAATGCAAAGATTTCTTGAAAACCAGCAAAGGTGCCTGCAATGAAATCATATTTTCATGGTTTTCACCAAGTAAACATACTATATGATGGCAGATTTAAGTGAAAATTCTGGGCAGATAAAGCATGAATGGCCACCTGAGGCCTTGGGCAGTCCAGTAGCGCAGGGAGGGGGTACATGAGGCACGTGCCCCTCCCCCTCTTAGGCTCCGAGAGGCTCTTTGGACCGCTCGGGACCTACGATTACCGGCCTCACCTGAGGGCCCGAATGGTCTGAAAGGCCGGCTAGAGGTCGTATTAAGGGTCTCCGGCTCGCAGGGTCGGGAACTTCAATGCCAGTCAAGGGCCCTGCGCGCTGATCATTCGCAGCGTTTAGCAGGGGTCGTCTCGCGGCGAGAAGCCCCTCAGTCGGCCAAATGGCAAAGTCCGCATTGTGTCAGACAGGGTATTCTGTGTCCAGTAGCGCAGACAGGGGGCACAGGGGGCAAGTCCCCCCCCCCTTCCCCCCCCCCAGGTCCCGAGGGGCCCGAACGACCCATCGGAACACACGGTTAAGGGCCCGAAAGGGTAGCCGGAGGTCTCCTTCAGGGTCTCGGCCCTACGGGCCGGGCACTCCAACGCTAGCCAGAGGGCCATGTGCTCAGAGGCCCACTGAGTCGATAAGGGCCTATAGTTCGGTCAGACACCACCAGTAATGTACAGTCGGCTCCGTCGCGGTATGGGCCTAAGCGCCCATTTCCCAAGCAGGGACAAAGACGGAGCTAGCGATTTACATTGTTCGGGGCCCCACAGCGCTTTATAGGGGCCTTGCGTTGTCAAGGGGCCCCGAGTTTGTCAGAGGCAGTGTTCGAGGAGGCCCGAAGAGCTTAGGGAGCCCGCCGGGTTTCAACGATCAAGGGCCCGATTGGAGGGTCTAAGGGCATAAAGGGCTGATCGGAGTCTTATTCAGGGTCCGCGATCTGCGGAGACGGACCCTCAACTAACGGCCAGAGGGCCCCTTGCGCCAATCGGGAAACCCTGAGTTGATATGAGCCTGATGTCGTTCAGGTACCACCGCGCCACATAGTCGACTCCGTGTCGGTATGGGCCTGAGGACCTACTTCCCAATCAACTTTAATGTCGGGGCCAGTGATTTTACTGGTCTGGGATCTCCTGTCTGTTAAGGGTCCACAGCGCCTAACAGAGAGTCCTGTGCTCGCAAGGGCCCGAGCCGACCAAGGGAAGTGTTCGATGAAGTCAGAAGAGGGGTCCGGGCGGTCCACCGGAAACGACGATCAAAGGCCAGGTTGGAGGGCATAATGGTCCGAAGGACTGGCAGTAGGTCACATTTAGAACAGTGACCCGTAGGATCATGACCTGAAATATCAGCCATCCCCCGAAACAATGCGGGTGCCTAAGTTGGTCAGAGACCACGAACACCGAACAGTCGGCTCCATGTCCGTCTGAGCCCTTGAAAACCATTGCCCAAGCAGAAACGAGGCCGGGGTCCGCGATTTGCAATGTTCGGGGTTCCTGACGTGATAACGGACACCTGTGTCGGTTAGGGGCCCCAGTACCTCACAAGGGCCCTGTGGCGGCAAGTGGCCCCGAGTGAGAGCGGTGTTTGAGGGGGCCCGAGGAGGGGCCGAAAGGTCTTTCGAGGCCAAAGGTCGAGGGCTCAACGGGATGGGTCTGAAGGCTGAAGGGTCTGAAGGGATGGCTGTAGGTTACATTAAGGACCCTTGCCCATAGGATCATGATTTCAAATGTCAGTAAGACGATATCTTGCATCGATAGGAACTCCTGAGGCAGAGCGCTCCCCTGTTTCGGCCGGAGATTACGAACAACGAATTGTCGACTCCGCGTTGGTCTGGGCTCTGAAGGCCCATTTCTCAAGCAGGGACAAGGCCGGGCCCGCGATTTACATTGGCTGGACTCCTGTATTGTTCAGGGGACCCACAGGGCCTAACAGGGCATTGTGTCAAAAAGGGGCCCCGAATCGATCAGGGGAAGATTTGCTCAACAGAAACGACGACGGGAGCCCGAATGGCAGAGGGTCACTTCCGCTGGTCGGGCAGCTCTGATAATGAACGGAAACATAAGAACTTAAGATGAGTGTTCACATTGAAACAATGGAAAGGTTTTCTGCTAGCCAGGGCCCCCCGTACCGAACCGTGGGCCCCCCGTACCGAACCGTGGGCCCTCCAACCCCATGCGAGGGCGGGCCTGTTAACCAGAGTTGGAGTCCATGTGCCAATTATCGAATCACTTGCGGCGATCAGGGATGTTGTTGCGGGAATGGGAGTTCATACGTCGATCCCGTGTCTACTGCACGGGACAGAAGGCCTCCACGTCAGCAAGGGCCTAAGTGACGTGATGTAACCCTCTAAAGGCTTTCGGATCGGCCAGGGGATGCGGCCCCGTGTCGCCAGAAGGGTAGCTGGAAGATACCCCTCGGTTGGACGGAAAGACACTCCAGCCCTTGACCGGGAACCATAATTTGCCCCCAGTATTCTACGCAAGGGCCTCTTTCCGAAAAGGAATAGGGTACATCATTAATTTTTGGTGGACTGGGTTGAAATGAGTTGACATCAAACAATGGCATTCTATGTTTACCTGAGAGCGTTCATTTTTTGCATAATTGACCAGTGAAGCAAATAATGTCATAAGGCGTGAGCCTGCGCGCCGACAATGTCGGGATCAAGGATAGCGATGACCTGCGTTGCGGTTTCCGTAAAACTGAACGGCAATGGCCGCTGCAGGCGACATTGGACGGCGGGCGCTGTGCGTGCGAGAACGGACGTCATAAAATAAGGGTTCCAAGAGCCTTTCAAAATCAATTAGTGCTGTCCGAAGAGGAGACTTGGCCTACCTTTTTTGTAACTTTGAGGTTGTCTTCTGGACAGATCAACAGTTCAGGCAACACGAAAAATAAAGATTTTGCCTTGACTCCGTCAGTTCCACCACCAGATGGCAGCACCACTTCGCGGTGCTGTAACGGCCAATCCGTGTACCATTCGATGTCATAAAGAGTTCAAACACACTTTTCCAGACGTATCATAATTTTCGTCCATCCGTTGGCCACGGCTTAGTGTCAGTCGCGATGCCGACGCTGCGAAGTCTACGGAGGCTGCAACGCCTGGTGTCGAAATTTTTGTTAAGGTGTGCGAGCGCCCATGCTCAAAATCACGTTACATGGTGTGTATTATCAGACGATTCCTTCTGAATGCTGAACATTTCCAGACAAACATGGTTTGGCTATGTTAACGCAAACTGTTGAGCCATTTGGATCTGCCAAGTACATTTGCGAAGCATTTGATATATCTGAACAACACAGATATAAACTCCGACAAAGCCTCTGCGCTCTGCCGGTTTAGAAAAAAGCCCTTCGACCATTGTAGAATGAAGAACTCATGCTATTTATTTCATGCAGTTGTTTAACACAGGAGTTCTTTTGCTCCAGCCGCGTGCCTCCTCCAGCCGCACAACAGGCACTACCCAAGGCTCAATGTTAGACATTTGTCTGACTTATAAGTTGCCGCACATGAACAAGACACGACGCGTCGTCTGACAAGTTTTCGTGCGTTGCGTACGATTCGTCGGTACGTAGACCATTTCTTTCTAAATGGATAACCACCACATTTATTCTTGTGTTTCGAGGACCAAGCTATGCGCTTTCGCATGCAGATGAGAAAAAGATCAATGTCGCATTGGAAAATTGCTTTTGACACCTTTCAAAAGTTCATAATGTCCTGAGCATCATCACTGTGCAATGACGATTCCCAGAGCAGCGTACAAATATTCAGGGGAGTTGTCTGATCAAATTAGTGTGTAGGTATGCCGCATTCTCTTCTAGGCAAGCGGAAAAGATGGCCACCGAAGATAGCTCGTAACTACACAACTCAAAATTGTCGAAGGCTGTAACTTCAAAATGTTGCAGCTGAGATATTTAAAAACGTAACATGCGACTTCAGCACCAATGCCAACACTCATGACCCATTTAATCACAATCAGAATGATGAGGGCGTGAGACACTTGTCAATTTATCGTGAAGGACCCCTCTCTCTCTCCTCTCTCTCTCTCCTCTCTCCGCTCTCTCTCCTCTCTCTCACTCCTCTCTCTCTCTCTCATCCCTCACTCTCATCTCTCTCTCTCCTCTCCTCTCTCC